ATAAATCAATAAAAATTCAGGTATATAACTTCTTTAACAAAAAAAAAAACTTGGCTTATAACTTGACCACTGAGAATACAAGGTCGTACACTATAAAATGAGAAAAATTGGGGTGAATGGAATTTTTAGGGTTAGCAGAAACTTTTTTCTTTCAACAACTGTTAGCTGATAAAAAAAAAAAACAACTGTTATGAGAAAAAAAAAACAAATTAATTGATCAAAGTATCTGAGAAAGAGAGGAAAATTGTGTGCATTGAGTTTGAGTGAGAAAAATCGAGAAAGAAGGTTTGTGAAAGTTTCTATCAAGCAAATTGCCACTTAAAATAAATGATGCCGTGATTTCTAAGTTAAGTCTAAGAAGTGACATATTTCATAGAACTAATAACTCAACAAGGCATTGTTAAAAATACTAAAATACAAGTAACAATTTCATTCAAGAAAGGGAAAGTTAAATGCGTATTAAACATAAACACATAAGCTTATCTTTTAGTTTTACAATAGTTTTGTTAAAACATTTTTTCAGGAAAAGAAATCAAGAGTGATGCGGCAATGCAAATCAAAACCTTTTTGACTTTTGGATTCATTTCTAAATGAAAAGACCTAAAGAAAAAAAAAAGTTTATATATGCTGTCACTCAGTGAATATTACACATTAATTAGAGCTTGTTTTTAGTTAAAAAACGTTTAATTTATAGTTTCGTAGACAAGATAAAAAAACATTCGTAGGATTTTAATCCCTTACCTACTAGTATAATTTACTTTTTAGGATAATTTGTTTTATTCTGAATTAAATGGATACAGAATTTATGATCAACTAGATTACAAAAAGATAAAAAGAATTAAACAACAATTGAACCAAACTCACATGAAATAGTAAATATATAGGGTATAGGGGCGGAACATAGGTGGTTGAGAGATCTTCAATGAGTCTTTTGAAACCAAATATATATTTAACTTGTAAACTCATATCTATCTTAATTTTTGCTTCCCATGTTATATCTTTTGGTATTCATATTATAGATTATGTGCGTACACACACATAATTATGAATACTGTATTAAACTGTTTCAAATGCACACTTTAATCCTTCTTTTTCTCAAACCAAACTTTAATCTAGATCTAAACATTATTCATAATCATGTGTACCCATTAGACAATTATTGGAAAATAAAAAATTGTATCACGCGCATGAATGGAGTCTAAGATCGCCCAAGAGAAAGAAAAAAAAAGTAGGTAGCAGCCACGACCGGAGTCTTTGTTCTCACTTTGGTCAACATTTTTAAGACGATAGGGAGAGTGAGAAAGAGAAATTTTGTTATTCAATAGTTAATTATGTAATATAAACTAAGTTTAATTGCAACTAGTAATATAACTAATAACATTTTACATTGTGTATACGTAACGACGGCTTATGGTTGTGATATTTTTTGGATGCATTATTTGAGTTAGAAAACTGGTTTTAGTAAAGTGAAAAAGAACGAAGTAATATTATATGGTTTTATACCATAATGCACTCTTTAAGTTGAGTTAGGAATATTCGATCAATTTAATTCCATATATAATTATTTGACTTGTATACTTTAATTATGAAACATCAGATCAACGTAGTATTATTCGTCCAAAGTGTGGAGGAATTTTAAGATGAATTGATATATCAAAAAGTGGCGAAGCAAGAATATTATCAAACAAGCCACCCTGTAAATTTGGTAGTTTATATCCCACATATGCTTTCTATTTAATTTTCTGAAACACTGATATATCATAACTCCTATAAAGAATCTATTAGAGAATTTATTTGATAAAGTTATTTTGCAAAAGTTATCTTATATCAATTCGAAAGATGATATACATGCTATATATCAATATCACCGTGAATTATCCTTGATACTAGAAAATGATGGCACACTTAATATAAGAACTTGTATTTTCAAAATAAAAAATTTCTATACCAAAAAAAAAAAAATCCTAAAACAAGTGGGTAGAGAATCTCTAACAAGTAAGTTTCAATAAATATACAAAACAAAATAATTTATGTGATGAGTGATATGAAAAGACAAATTAAACGATTTTTATGGGATAACTGACGGTCTATCAGATAAAAATAAAATCTATATACTAAAAATGAGCCGGACGGTGTGCAAAGCCAAAACTAAAATACAAAGAAGTAAAGCGTTTCACATTAAGTATGAATCCTAGAAAACTACATTACTGTAATTTTAAGAATGCACTTTCAAAAAGGATATCAAGTAATTTTCAAAATCGGTATCCTGAAAATGGAAAATGCAAGTGATGGAACTAGTCTCTTTTTTAGGAAAAACTCTTCTCAAATTTGGTTATGATTCAAACGATGAGCTCAAGTAGTAAACTTTGTCATTCAGAGTTGTTTCGAAATATTTCAAAATCTTATGCAACCTCTCATTACTTTTCTTTTTTTCGCAAATCTTTCTAATTATTTCAACATAAAATAATCCCAAAAGGGAAGAGAAAAGAAACCAATTGAAGTGCATAATAGAGACCCAAAAGGAAAATGCCAAATGAATCAATCTCATAAAGAAAGGAGAGATGGTAGGGGTCCATCATAGATGTGCTCACATACATGCTCCACGAACTCTTGTTTCTTTTACTTTAACTTTTTTTTTTTTTTTTTCAATTTGAATGTAACATTTTTATACAGATCTTATCTATGAGACTATGACTATGACTATGACTCACACATATTTTCTCACAATTTTAATTATTTTAATGAAATCCAATCTTTCTCATTTGCGCCTATAAATAGCAACCCTCTCTCATTTTATAAGTCTTCACATCAAAGCAATAAACATACACACAACTTGCAACTTCAAATAGAGTACTTTCAAAGAAGAGAGAGAGAGACAGAAAAAGAAAGATGGAGAAGAACATGAAGTTTCCAGTGGTAGACTTGTCTAAGCTCAATGGTGAAGAGAGAGACCAAACCATGGCTTTAATCAATGAAGCTTGTGAGAACTGGGGCTTCTTTGAGGTACACATTTTTTAAAAAAGATTTGATTCTAATGGTAATGTGAATCTTTTGTAAATTTGGGGTTATTGAAATTTTCAGATAGTGAACCATGGATTACCACATGACTTAATGGACAAGATCGAGAAGATGACAAAGGAACATTACAAGACATGTCAAGAACAAAAGTTCAATGATATGCTCAAGTCCAAAGGTTTGGATAATCTTCAGACAGAAGTCGAAGATGTTGATTGGGAAAGCACTTTCTACGTTCGTCACCTCCCTCAGTCCAATCTCAGTGACATTTCAGATGTGTCTGATGAATACAGGTACATATTTTCTTTAAAAATACAGTTTCAAATCATATGTTATATTCATTTAGTTACATATGAGATTTATTTTCTTCTATGAAACAATTACTCACCACTCCAAAAATCCTTCTTAATTTATAAAATCTCTCAGGGTACATGAATAACAATAAGGCCAGTTAATTGTCATTTATTTGTAGGGCCAATTTTTTTTCTTTTTTTCTCAAAGAAATCTCAAATTTGACCAAACAAATTTCAGTTATACACTCTACCTCTTTTACCTTTAATTAAAAAGATTTTCTTACTTTTTTTTTTCTCACATGCATGAGGTAAGAATTTCTGACTTTTTGTGATATTTTATTGTTAAAACTCATTTTTAAAAAGATTATATTACATAAAAGTAACCTGTAACTTGCATAGTGAAGCACAATCTTTTTCTTTTTGGTAAATATTATGTAATATATTATACTAAAGTAGTAAAAATGTTTTGATTTGGCAGGACGGCCATGAAAGACTTTGGGAAGAGATTAGAGAATCTTGCAGAGGATTTGTTGGATCTATTGTGTGAGAATCTAGGGTTGGAGAAAGGGTATTTGAAGAAAGTGTTTCATGGAACAAAAGGACCAACCTTTGGGACAAAGGTGAGCAATTATCCACCATGTCCTAAACCAGAGATGATCAAAGGTCTTAGGGCCCACACTGATGCAGGAGGCATCATCTTGTTGTTTCAAGACGACAAGGTCAGTGGTCTCCAGCTTCTTAAAGATGGTGACTGGATTGATGTTCCTCCTCTCAACCACTCTATTGTCATCAATCTTGGTGACCAACTTGAGGTATGTCATGTTCACACCACATTTTCAAAAGATCTTTTGCTTAGAAAAACCAATGTTTTGGTATTGATTGTTTTGGTTTAGTCCCGGTTTGATGAAATTGAGGGAAATTAGTAAATGTTATAACCGAGTTAAACCGGACGAACGACATGAAAATCTTAATGAGTTTGATTTGATATAGCTAAACGATCTGAGATTTTGGTTTAACCGGAATATGTATTTTCTGAATTGTGTAGGTGATAACCAACGGGAAGTATAAGAGTGTGATGCACCGTGTGGTGACTCAACAGGAAGGAAACAGGATGTCGGTTGCATCGTTTTACAATCCGGGAAGCGATGCCGAGATCTCTCCTGCAACTTCGCTTGTCGAGAAAGATTCCGAGTACCCGAGTTTCGTCTTTGATGACTACATGAAGCTTTATGCAGGGGTCAAGTTTCAGCCCAAGGAGCCACGGTTCGCGGCAATGAAGAATGCTTCTGCAGTTACAGAATTGAATCCTACAGCAGCCGTAGAGACCTTCTAAACCGAAGTGAAGCAGAGAAAGAAAGAAAGAAGATGAGTTTGTGTTCTGTGTTTGTGTCAATAAGTTGATATAGTTAAGTATCTGGTTATTAATTGTTGGTCAATTGGTGTGTTTTAAAGTGTGGAGTGTTTATGTTTATGGAAGATGTTAACAATAATAATAATCTGAATTCTAAGAGCTCTAATGTGTTTTTATCACCAAATCAAGTGGAGCACTCTGTTTCAGAACTTAACACAAATGAAGCTAAAGTAGCTTTTATCATTAGAAGCAAGTTCAGAAGAATCAATCACTAAAGCAAAAACAAACAAACATTAAAAGTTTAAAACTTAAACAAACAGAGTTTACAAATTTATCTAACAAATGCCCTGGAAAATTTATCACCTTTGAGGTGAAGAAGATAAACTTGAAAAAACCAAGTGTGAATCATCAAAACAAGCAAGATTCAGCAGTCTACATCTTCAGGGTTATTTTCCAGTCACACAACCATTCATTAAGCGAGAATCGGTTTTTGTTTCATAGCTCTTGATATCGAAATTCTTGTTTGAATAAAGGGTTTCAAGGTGCAGGTACCTTTTTCTCATCTCCTTCAGTAGCAGCGGCTTCATTGGAACAATGATTCTTGACGACCGTTGCTATGTCAGCTTCAGAAGCACCTGCAAGTTTGAATCTTTCAACAGCTGAATCAAGATTCTTATTCCAACCATCCCTCCCGATTTTGCATTCAACTTGCGATCTTTCGAACAGCATGTTTCCCCAAAACAGATGGATCTGTGATCTCATTGCAGTCGCTTGTTCTGCTGCTTCTTCAGCTGTGATTGTTTCTGAAACCTCTTCACTCCCATCTCCTCCTTGCTTCTTTCTCCTCTTAGAAACTTCCTCTTTCTTGTTCGAGTTCGGGTTTTTAAGATCATCCATCCTCTGCTCTTCAAGCTTCTCCCACATCTCTGTAGCATCTTTCATCTTTGCCTCTGCGCTGTCAAAGAGATTTAGGGTTTCCGATGGATCCCAACCTGAGATATCGATCTTCTGAGCTAGCAAGTAAGACCAGTGTAGCTTCGCCATTTCAAATTGCTGCTGTCCTAAAGCAAGCAAACCCTCGTAAAAATCTGGTTTGATCGAGAGGGCCTGCTCATATTTCTCCTTTGCCAATGTGTATCGCTCTTTCACCCACTCGTAAGCGGTTTGAAGCTGTGCTGCAACCACTTCTTTTCCCGCAGATTCGTCTAAAGGAATCCTCTTTCTAGCAGCACACATGTGAACATTTCCCCAGTTGAAGAAAGCTAAAGCAGCGACTTCTTGGAATTTCGCAGAAGCTTTATCGAATAGTGGTTGAGCTTTCTCGCTTGTCACAGTTTCTTCAAGCGCCTCTGAGCAAAGCTCCATTCCCAACTCATGCAAGTCAATATGAGCATCAGGGTCAATACCGACATGAGTACGGAAGAGATGAGCAAAATCAAACAACCAATCATCCATCTCCAATTCCTTGGTCTCAGGATCCTCAGAAGAACCCGCTTTCTCCTTTTCGACTTCCTTATCCGCCTTCTCATTGTTGATTTCTGTTTCCGATACCGATTCTGTAGGAGATGATATGACTTCTTCTACAACAGGCTTCTCTTCCACTTCCTCCTCTTCTTCCTCTAGCAACATCGGCTCTTGCTCAGGACTCACATCAACAACATGCAATCTCAACATCCCAACAGAATCAGACTTATCAGTATCAGGCTCTTTCGTCAAAAGACTATCAGCAGCAGATTCCGCCAATTTCAGCTCTGCAGTAGAAGTTATAGTCACCAAATCTCCATCATTGTCCTTGTACTTAATCAAAACCGCCTTCGAAGACGGGAAACGACTGCTCACAATCTCTCTCAATTCCTTAAACCTACAGTTCACAGGCATCTGACCCAACCTTATGTCATGATCATAAACAAACTTCAACGGCCTCCACCGAATCCTCTTCTCTTGAACCTTCTCAACAACAGCCACAGATGAAGAACCCAACTCCTCCACCTTCGACCCTTTCGGTGAATGACTAACCGGCTTCAACACAACTCTCGACGCCTGTCCCTTACTCACCGAACCACCATTTTCAGTCACCGGATTCACCACCTGCGGCCTCTCTACCTTACCATTACTAGCATTAGGCAACGAAACAGACCCAACAGGCGAAGCAACACCCTTTTTATGAACATTACGAGAAGGTAAACAAGGACCAAGTCCAGCAATGGGACCGCCTAACGCAGCCGAAGCACCAAGAGCTGCAGGTGAAGGACGGCTCTGCAAATCTTGATGAGGACTCAAAGCGGTTTTTAACCGCTTGGAAATCTCACCAGCATCCTTATGATTAGGATCAGACCCCAACAAAACATTGACATCCTGAACAGCTAAATCAAACTTGCCAACAGCTTCAAAAGCTCTAGCTCTTCTAAGTAAAGCTCTAGTAAAACCAGGCTGAGATTTAAGAGCCAAAGAACATTCAGAAATCACAGATTCATAATCAATTGGCTTCATCTGCATCAAACAAGCAGCTCTATTGCTATGAAACACAGCTCTATCTGGATGATTCTTAGGAATAAGCTTAATCCCATTCTCGTATTGCTCAAGAGCACCAACGTAATCTCTTGCTTGAAACTTTTTATTACCTTCTTCCTTAAGCTCATGTGCACGTTTCAAGAATATCGAAGCATCGAAATCAACACCACCATTAACAATCGTTGAGGGTTTCGATAATCCTGAAGTTTCAGAGGAATTGACTTGACTCGAACTCGAATTCGAATTCGAACCACCACCACCACCACTCTTCTTCTTCCTTCCTCCAGATTTCCCCATTTTCAATCTCCTCTCCCCCAAAAAAGCTTCAGAATTTCGAAATCTAAGCCCAAATTCCGATAAATAGATGGAGAGAGGGAGATACCCAGATGCTTAAAGATCGAAATGAAGAGAAATTAGTCGGAGAAATGAAGAGAAAATGGTCAAATTCAGATAAAGTTGAATACTTTAAGGGAAGAAGAAGGTGCTAGAAGAAGATGAGCCTGACGGGGTTTTGAAAAACTAGAAACCCTAGCTCGAAGGGATCAGCAACTTGTTGTCTCTCTACTATTTTTACTAAGTCGTGAGATCAATTTTGGGCCGTTGGATTTGAGTATATGTTTGGTGAAACCGAAAGATGGAAGATGATGGGCCTACATATTTTCAGCCCAATGGTTCAAAAACATTTTAGGCATGAATGAATTTGTAACAAGTATCCATACCATCCAAACATGTGAATATGTGATGTTGATAAACTAGATCATCTATAATTTTTTTTTTTTTTGGTAAAAGGTTAAATTTTATACCAATTTTCTGATTTTTTCTGTACAAAAGTTACAACATAAAGAGCTTAGAAAGGATAATTAATACAGCCAAAATAGAACGCAAGAAGAGAAGAAGTTGTAGCAGAAGATCCTGGGATGGACAGCAGACGATCCCGAATTGCTCGATCCAAGGAGGCACGAGTTGCAGAAGAGGTGGAAGAGATATTAGTGAAGATCCTTGCGTTGCGCTCACGCCAAATGTGGTAGCAGGCAGCTTGTAAGATCAGCTTGATGATAGTTGACGCTTGAGATTGAGACTGGGGGAGCGATCTCGCTTGAAGAATCCAGGCAGAGATGGAGAGAAGGCCCGAAGGTGGAGAAGACCAAATTCTGGCAGCAAATGCTTCCCAAATCGAGACAGAGAAAGCACAGTCAAAGAAGAGGTGGGCGTGAGTTTCAATTCCGTCAGAACAGAGAACACATTCAGCAGTAACATTCAGTCCCCAAGAGCGAAGTCTGTCCTTAGTTGGCAATCTGCCCTGAATCGCCAGCCAAGTGATAAATGAATACCGCGGGACTGCTTCTTTGAACCACACTGCCTTGTACCAAGGCACCAAAGCAGAGTGAGACCGTAGCTGCTCCCAAGTGTCCTTAGAAGAGAAAGACTGAGCAAACGAACCTGACGAGCGACGCCAGAGAAAGAAATCATTACCAGCAGTGTCATTTGGAGGAGGAATGGTAGAGAGCAAAGCCATGAAGGAAAGGTGGTTATCTGAACGAGCAGCAGGCATCCACCATTCACCATTCCTAACAGCATCGGAGACAAGTGCATCTTTCCTTAATCTCAACTGCCTAGGACCATTATCACCAAGAAAGACAATCAATGGGCCAGAGTCACACCAGTGATCAAACCAAAAGGAGGCAGTCCTCCCATTACCAATTTTACAGCGCATAAAATCCTTAAGTAGAGGTTTTAGTTTGAGCATTTCTTTAACAGTACTAGACAGTCTCTGAGACGGTTCAAGGATCCAGAAACTCTTCCTGCGAAACACATTACCTTGCAACCAAGCTACCCACAAAGAACCCGCATTAGCAAACAGATTCCAAATAAGCTTAAGCTGGAAAACAACTTGGAAGTCCTCAAGCCTCCTGATGCCCAGACCGCCTTCCTCCTTTGGTCTACATACATCTTTCCAAGCAACTCGAGCACCCACCGCAGAATCAAGCTTGTTTTTCCAGAGAAAAGCAGCGCAAAGGGAGTCAACTTTTTCATAGAACTTTTTAGGCAGATTGAAGACAGCACTCCAAAAATTCACCATGCCGTATATGACTGAAGATATAAGTCGGATTTTACCAGCAAAAGAGAGGAACTTGGCAGTCCACGCATGGAGCTTCGAAGTGATTTTTTCTAGAAAAGGCTGAAGAGTGGCGAGAGAGATTCTGGCGGGGTTAAGAGGTAAACCTAAATACCTGGTCGGAAAGGAACCGACTTTGATGCCAGAGATAGCACTAAGAACACCAACTTCAATATCATTATAGCCTCCAAAAAATATCTCTGACTTTGCTGGATTCATATCTAAGCCGCTGTAATTCTTGAATTGAAGCATAACCTCAGCAACCCCGGATAGAGAGTGGCGAGCACCATCAGAGAAAACCAACAAGTCATCAGCAAACAATAAGTGGGTTACCTGAGGCGAAAAGCAAAGAGGGTGCAGCCTTATCTTGCCTAAAGAGGCAGCAGATTCAAGCAGTTTTGAAAGCACTTCCATTACCATGATGAAGAGGTATGGAGAAATGGGATCTCCCTGGCGGATACCTTTCTTACCCGGAAAGAAGCCCGCAAGCTCACCATTGATGGATATAGAAAACCGAGGAGATGAGATGCATTCCTTAACCCAAGAACAGAAAAGCGGTGGAAAATTTTGTGCTTGAAGTACCTTAAGCACAAAATCCCAGCACACTGTATCAAAAGCCTTCCTTATATCAATCTTAACCATACAGCTCTTAGGACAGACAGCCTTTTGATAATCTCTGATCAATTCCGATGCAAGTAAAACATTTTCACCCAAACTACGACCTTTCAAAAAAGCAGCTTGGTTAGGGCTGATGCATTCATGAAGAATAGGTTTCATTCTGTTGGCAATAATCTTTGAGATGACTTTATAAATCAGGTTGCAACAACTGATTGGCCTATAATCGCCTAGCCGACATGCTTCAGGGAATTTAGGGATTAGGGCGATGATAGTACTATTGAGATCTTTAAGTAGGCGGCCATTGCGAAAGAACTCTTGCACAGCCTCAATAACCTCCTTACTAACCATGCCCCAAGAAGACCTGAAAAACTCAACGGAGAAACCGTCAGGACCAGGGCTCTTATTCAAAGGCATAGCAAGAATGACTTTAGTAATTTCCTCAGGAGACACAAAACGAATTAAGGCCTGATTGTGGGTATCAGAACATCGAAAAGGAAGCAGCTCCCTGAGCGTATCAACCGTAACAGGGGAGAGAGGCATCTCGGTGCAGCCCAAAATATTCTCAAAATAGGAAGCAGCATAAGACTTGATTTCGGATATATCCACAATCCTTCTATCATTATGATCACAGAGGAAGTGGATGTGATTTCTTGCTGCCCTCACAGACACAGATTTATGGAAGAAAGAAGTATTTTTATCCCCGAGGTTGAGCCAAATAACCCGCGACTTCTGACGATAAAACTTCTCTTCAGCAGAGATAAGGATTTGCCAGAGAGCGCGCTCTTGATGTTCTTCCCTTGCAGCATCAGCGTCAGGATTAGATAGGAGGAGCCTTTGAAGAGTGGCAACCTTTTCAGCTGTATCTTTCACTCTCGCACTAATGCCACTGAAGTGCCGCTTGTTGAGGCTCCTAAGCACAATCTTAAGCTTTCTTAAAGACCTTACAAGCTTGAATTGAGAGGTACCCTGAATGGAGAGAGGATTCCAAGCCTGAGAGACCGAGTCATGGAACTCCGGATGATCTGCCACATGATGAAAGTACTTGAAGGGTTTCCGGACAGACCGTCGCATAGAAGGAACAGTGAAAAGGCAAGCAGCGTGATCAGATTGGATAGGTTCAAGGAACTCAGCAAAAGATTCCGGGTGAGCAGTAGCCCAAGCCTGGTTTATTAGAGCATGATCAATCTTCTTAGAGGCTGGGCTATCTTCTTGATTGTTCCACCAGGTGAAGGGAAGGCCCTTAGCTTGAGCTTCAAAAATCTCAGCATCTTGCAAGGCCAAATTGAAATCATCAATTCCTGCGGAGTCCACATCCTGAGTGAGATATTCTGAGTGATGAGATAGCCTAAGAATCTGATTAAAATCGCCTACCACAGCCCAGGGAAAACGATTCACCGGAGAGTTGGCATTCAACCAAGCTAACTCCTCCCACAGTGGTTGACGATCCTCAGGAAGATTATGACCATAAGCAAAGGAGACTGTGACAGATAAACTGAGAGATTGGATAAAAATACCGCAGGTAACCAACTGAGCAGAGGCTTGGTACACAACCAAGGAGACTGAGGGGTCCCAGCAGACCACAATCCGGGCAGTGCTATGATGATCAAAATTAGCAAAAAACTTCCAACCAGCTGGAATAGCACGAACAACTCTTCTTGCATTTATTGGCTGAATATGCGTCTCTAAAAACGCACCAAAAAGTGGCTTGTGGATAGAAATCCAATTCTTTGTAGAGTCCTGACGTCTGTTACTATTAAGACCTCTTATATTCCACACAAAAAACATACTTGATGTTGGCTAATGTGACAGCGTGACCTTGCGGCCACTTCTCCTGCGTGAGACCAGGATAAACGGAGCTTCTTCTTCTTCTGCGGTTTGCTTCCCTTCAGCAGGGATAACCGAACCATCTGAAATAAAACCAAGTGCAGCAGCACCAGTAACAACAGTACCAACAACAGCAGTACCTTCAGCGACCTAACAAACTGAACTCTCATCCGCTACATTAGCTTCTTCAGTAGCAACCACAGCAGCAGTACCAACAACAGACATACTAGCAGAACACTCAGCATTCTCTGTAGCCTGGGCTACCACTGTACCTTTTGTAACTTCCTTAGCCTGCCAAACCAATTGAGCTTTGGAAGGAGCCTTAATCCATCGTTCAGCAGAACGTCCCTGCCTCGAACGTCGTCTGATTCTTGGCCTACTGCGAGACCTTAAGCTTCTCCTTTTTTGAGTAAAAGAGGCTACTGGCCTAGTAGGACAACGAATAGAATCATGCCCATACGCACTGCATACGGAGCATCTTGGAGGGAGCCAGGGGTAAGTGACATCAATCTCCACTTCGCGGCCATCAGAGAAACCCGAGATAACCTTCGAAGGAAGGTCCTTTGTAAGATCAACACGGACGAGCACCTTTGCAACTTCAAAATTCTCCTTTCTCGCTGTTTCGGGAGCAAGGGCAATTGGCTCACCAACAGCAGTGGCTATGCGGCTGAGACTCTGTTTGTTGAAGAGAAGGTAAGAAACACCTCTAAATTCCGCAGTAATGGAAGCTGAAGTAATCGGTGGCGACCCAGGAGTGAAATCTGGTGACCACGGAGACACGAACATAGGGTAACCGGCAATGTTCCAAACATTACGTCCAAGAAGGATGGCCCGAGTACGGGGGTTTGAGACACGAAGGAGAAAGGCCCCCTGGCCTAATTTGTGAACATAAATCCGAGGCCCCGAGCGAGCCCAGAGAGCATTCACCACACCAATGATGCGACCCATCTCAGGGAAATCATCATGAAACTGGGCAAAAACAAAATCCTTGAATTCCTCTCTAGCATCAGCAATGTTGTCATCATCTATAATTTTGTATGGTCTAAACTATACAAGCTATGTAAATGTTGTCTATTTCTAATACTATGTAATCTAGTTAACAACTTTCGTTAAAATAAAAAATATAATAACCAATGACTTAAATCGGAAATTCGTACTAACTAGTATCCCTCACCCATAAATCTAACAAGAGGACAAAACAATATTAGAAGATTGTGAAAAAAAGAGTGAAAAGAAAAAAAGTATCTTTGTCTTTCTTTTGCACAAAAAAAAAAAAAAAAAAAAAATCTTTGTCTTTCTAAGCCTAGTTAAATGATATAGTTGTTGGAAATTTAATTTTACAATGTGGTTCCTGTAAAATTTTTGGTGACTTTCCGTGAAATTCGTCACTAAAATGACTGAATCTTGAAGTCATTGGATTCTTTGTAATAAACACTATGAGATAATGTAATTATATGTAAAAGATGAAGTCATATTGCATGAGAAATTAAAGTCCAAAGTTGTTAACTTGAAAGCTTATAATAATAATTAATAATATACACATATGTCACATCCCTGATATTTACCTTTCCACTCCAAAGTAATTTAAACAGTTCGCCATTAACTTTTCCTTTGTAGATGAGAACTGCCATATGGCCTAATCTCAGAATTTTTCCGATGGCATTGATGTAGTGACCATCGTGAGCTAGTAAAACCACAACTCCTGGCTCGGCACGATGTTCCCTATTCATCCATATAAACATGTGACTCGAAATTCTTTTATCAGCTAACTGTTTTGGTAAGTTCAAATCAGCACCTGGTCGCACGAATTCAGGCGTAATGTCACAGCTGTGTAGAAAGTTTCTTACGGCCACACTAACCCTAGTGTGATGCCTATTAGCTGCAACCGGCCTAATATGAAATCCAGTACCAAATCCATTACCTCTCAGGTAATAAAACAAGGCTTCTAGAAAGAAGCGCATACTCTCTGAATCTGTTAGCTTCAGAGATTCGATATCCCAAAATCTTATTCTAGATTTATCCTCTATACTCTCCATTTCTTCTTCTTCTTCTCCTTCAAAAACAGACGGCGGCTCTTCAAACTCGGACAAGGGTTTTAGAGATGACTTGTTTTTAAATGACCATAATGAAGAGGATACCAACACTTATTACAAGGTTTACTAACTTTGTGCAGAGGACAGACACTATGGTGTAAGAGATGTATATGCATTATGCAAAACAAACCAGCACTGTGCAAACCAAGTCGGACTTGGGTCCTCAAGATTTGGTGAATGTGCCCACAAACTTTGCGACATTTGTTACATTTATGCAACATTTGCCATATATTTTTGACCCAAAATCGAACTATTTTTTTCGGATTTTTGCGGTTCTACAGTAATTGCCTCATATTTTTTAGGTTTCACTTATTACCTAATTAACTTGGTTCGTCCATGTTCTTATTCGATGTAAATTTGTTTGTTTTTCCATCATGACCTACAAATTTTTGGGTTCGTGTGGAATCAACTTGAAAATTTAAACTATGACAATGACTTCGAAACCCTATATTCCCCAACTTTTTTATTGAAACAGTTATTTTCTCTTACTTTTCTTTAAATTACCAAAATTATATTTTATTTTTGCATTTCTCAAAACTAAAAAAATAGAATGTCTAGTAATCTCGTATGGTTCTTCGTGGGCCTGTTCTTATATTTTATTAAATTTTTAACGGGCCAAATAGAAGGTTTGTTAGGCCTACTTATAATTTGTAGATAAGATAATCCATCTGAATGACCTACGTTTGCAGTAGAACTCCAACTGTTCAAGCTTTTAAAGCTTTCTTTCCCTTCTTTCTATATTCGATTTATTCCGCGTTGTAACAATGTACGTGCCGACTGTCTTGCAAAAAAGGCAAGGACACGAGGTTCTTTATTCTCCCATGTAAGCACATCGGCTCTGGATTGGCTCTCTCTAGAGGAAAGTCTCCGTCTGATATCTTAATAAAATGGGTTTTGACGGAAAAAAAAATTTCTTATTTCTTATGAGTAAGGGTCAAGGAATAAGGGATTGCCACGTGATCCCATTAAGAGATTGCCACGTGTACGAATTCACTTGGTAAGATATGTTTAATTTTATTTTTGTAAAAACATGCTGTATCTGTAAGATTAAATAATTTAGTACGAAAAGACATCGAATTGCCTCGCTCACGGATTGTTCACAAACGTTGTCTCTAAGTAGTGTAAATATTTTGCTGTTTACACGTTGCCAAAAATCATCTTTATATTAGAATACAAAGTAAAAGTAATAATAATATACTTTGTCAACGTTTCTCAAAATATACTTTTTGTATGAAACAATTTATTAATTAAGTAAATTCTACTCATAAGTAATATCAGCCAGAAAGAGAGTTTATGATAGTTTTTGTCATTTTTAATCAAATTTGAAGGAAAAAATGTTGCAACGACTAGAAACTGCAAATCGTATAGTGTTTCTAACTTAATTTGAAATATTGGAGATATTGTTTTGTTGATATATTGGAGATAGGAAAATATTGTTGTAATATTAATTTGACATATGTATGTTTCTTTATATCATCCGGAAAGTATATATATTTTTATGCCACAAGTTTTTCTCTGACCTAATTTCTTATGGGAATTTCTTATGATCAAATCAATGCTTTTCTATCTCCAAATATGATATGATCTAGTCGTACTATAATAAAACTTAATATATCTATCATGAATACTGATAAGTATATCTATCATAAGTATGTGATTTGGATTTGGTTTATTATTACGACGGAATCATATTTCTTCTGAATATCACTTTAGTTTTTTATTTATTTATTATATTAGTGTTATATGGATGGATCATAGTTAAAATAAAATATATACTTTGTTTGGTTAGACCATCTCCAATGTATTTCTCTATTTTTATCTCTATCTCTATAATAGAAGTAAGTTTTCTCTATTTTTACTCCAATGTGTTCCTCTATTTTTTCCTCTAAATAGTTTAACTCTATTTATAGAGGAAAAAATAGAGATTCTCTATTCTCACCTCTATATATAGAGAAAAAAATAGAGATCTCTATTTTAGAGGTGAGAATAGAGGTGGGTTGGAGTAAATTTGCCTCTAAAATAGAGTTTAGAGGCAAATATAGAGGTGGGTTGGAGATGCTTTTAAACCGTAGGAATCTCGGTACCCGAAGCCAGTCTTTAATCACTTTCTATTTAAAGAATGTTTTTCAGGGTTCAAAGAGATATTGAACCAAGGATACAAAAGAAATTGTAATACTACTAGACCACCACCTATTTGATAAGAAACTAAAATATTTTATTAATACATAAAACAATAGTAAAATTAAAATAGAAAAATACGGTCAGATAAATTTGATTTGGAAAACAAATATTGTTACCAGTCGTCTAATAGTTTTTGCGAAGTTGAAAACAATGTGATCTTCTAGGTTATTTATAATAAAAAAAAATCTTTGGAGTATTTTGAAATCTATCTTCATCTATAATTTTATTTTATTTCTATAATACTAGCCTACCAGGACAAGAATAGGTTTCAAGAGAAATATTTGTATACATAACCGTAATTTTATCGAATATAATTCTTATTCATAATTTTCTTTAAATTAATACAGTTTTATTATATATTTATCATCATCATCAAAACAAATGATATGAAGCAATTTAAGTCGGTAACTTGGCGACTCGTTAATTCAGTTCGAATTATAAAAAGACTTGTAAACACGAACCGAACACGATTTCATTTGGTCTCAAGAGAAAATATATAAATAGATTTATAACTCTTAACTTCTCAAAAGGCTAACTTTTGAACCAAGCAATCACGAGAAACCTTTGAAAATCTCTTACTTTGGATCCGTTCCCTTATTCACTTGGTTTCTTCTTTAACTTCCAAAACCCAACTTGTATCCAAAACTTTCTGGTGCTTTTCTTTCTTCTCGTGTCCTTTTTTTTCCCGGAAAATTTCAGCTTAGTTTTCCCGGAAAGTTTCATCATTGTTGCACTAGGTAAAAAGAAGAAGATGAAACCCATTTGTTTCCTTCTCTGTTTCTGCTTCCTTCCTGTGAAAGTCTCTTCCTTTTGACACAAGTCTCTTCTGTTTCATATTTTCTTTGTTGGGTTTTTTTTCTTTTCCCTGATTCTGTTTTGTTTTCCCGAGAAAATTAATGAAACGACGGCTAGATTCTCGGGAGATCGTATCGAACCCATGTTTTTAAATCAGTTCATGCACTTCCTGAAATCTATTCATACTTTCAGAAGGAAAAACCTAGTTTAACACATCTTTAACCCTAGATCCTCTGCTTTCAAACCCTACCTTGTGAACCAAGCAAAACTCACCTTTGATCACTATGTCTGGTTTATGTTTCAATCCGTTTCATCTACGTTGGTCTCTAAGATCCAAACTACCTCCAGAGCCATCCCTTCCGCCTTTACCATCTAACCCGTCTTCCTCCAAAACCAACCGGTATGCAGAAGCGGAGACGATGGAGAAGAAGAGATTCGACAGTATGGAATCTTGGTCGATGATCCTCGAGTCCGAGAACGTGGAGACATGGGAAGCTTCTAAAGGCGAAAGAGAGGAGTGGACCGCAGATCTTTCGCAGCTATTTATCGGAAACAAATTTGCTTCCGGAGCACACTCTCGAATTTACAGAGGGATCTACAAACAACGAGCCGTTGCCGTGAAGATGGTGAGGATCCCAACACACAAGGAAGAGACAAGGGCTAAGCTCGAACAACAGTTTAAGTCCGAGGTTGCTCTGCTTTCTCGTCTCTTTCACCCTAACATCGTTCAGGTCTGTATTCTTTATCTTCTTCTCAAAGTCTAAAACTTTCAAAAAAAAAAAAAAAACAGAGCAAAGATCTTGTCTTTAGAACATATATGTCTCTACCCACTAATAAGTTTTGGATTATAAGGTTTAAATTGTTGCTAATTTTATCCTTTATTTTGATATATAGTTCATTGCGGCGTGCAAGAAACCGCCCGTATACTGCATCATAACAGAGTACATGTCACAAGGAAACCTCCGAATGTACCTAAACAAGAAAGAGCCTTACTCGCTTTCAATCGAGACCGTACTTAGACTGGCTCTAGACATCTCAAGAGGAATGGAATATCTTCACTCGCAGGGTGTTATCCACAGAGACCTAAAGTCCAACAATTTGCTCTTGAATGATGAGATGAGAGTTAAAGTTGCAGACTTTGGGACTTCTTGTCTTGAGACCCAATGCAGAGAGGCCAAGGGTAACATGGGAACTTATAGATGGATGGCTCCAGAGATGATCAAAGAGAAGCCTTATACTAGAAAAGTCGATGTTTATAGCTTTGGCATCGTTCTATGGGAACTCACCACTGCGTTACTTCCGTTCCAAGGCATGACTCCCGTGCAAGCCGCATTCGCAGTAGCTGAAAAGGTCAGTCTCCATTCATCTTATTTAGCACTGCGAAGTAGCGTTTTTGATTAACATTAAAGATTGTTGTATTTGTTTCTTGAGGTACAAGTTATTGAATTTTTCGGTCATTTTTAATGGGCAGAACGAGAGACCACCTTTGCCGGCGAGCTGTCAACCCGCGCTAGCTCACCTAATCAAGAGGTGTTGGTCAGAGAATCCGTCGAAGCGGCCAGACTTCTCAAATATAGTGGCTGTGCTAGAGAAGTACGACGAGTGTGTCAAAGAAGGACTGCCTTTGACGTCACACGCAAGCCTAACAAAGACAAAGAACGCGATTCTTGATCGCCTTAAAGGCTGTGTCTCATCCATAAGCTCACCATTTTCTTCATCCTCTGTCCCTGTAAATGCCTAGTAGTCCACACTTGTTTTTAGTATCATAACCCTCTCTCGTTCCAAAGTTTACAATTCTTCATTTTCTTTCACTAGTTATTTGATTGTATATTGCATCTACGTGATGTTATGATTTGATATACACGTATTTAGGCTAATTAATTTTTATGATACATAATGATACTTATTGATCATTGGTCTCTCATTTACTTATTGATCATTGGTCTCTCAAAAGTTCTCATTTGCTTTTGATAGGTCCAACATATAACAACTTAAATTATGTTTTACAGAGAGATTCACAACAGAATCACTGCAAGAAGGCACAAAAAACTTTTTGCAACCTGATGCAACTTTGAATAACTTGAACTCATAACAAGTGACTTTTTAGTTGACTTCTTGTTTTTCTTTTGTTTTTTTTGCCAAGGATTCAAAGCCATAGTCTATTTACATTGTAAAACCAAACCTTTTCAAATTATGATGATATTAACATTCGCTACAAGAAAAAAAAAAAAACATGGCGAACTAAACCAACAACTCTAATATTCATTTAAGACATTCGCATATAATATCAATATCTCTTGTAATTACAATGTTCAACTAGTCTTAAATAAAAACAAAACAATAAATTTCGGTCGCCGACGATTCAGTTTTCTAGGTTCGATTTGTTATAAACATTGACGCATGGGGAATATTCACCCATTATCAATTTTGGACACGTTTCCACCATGTTTTGGCCATTCCTTTCTTATATATTTAGACTCTTCTAAGTCTTTTGTATCCAAAACGTATCAACTAAAGATGACAGAAAAAAACATGGAAGATGGTAAGTTGGTTTGTTCCCGATCTACAGTATTGTTGCAAGATTGGATCACATTCAAAGCACTGGCTTTAGAAGAAAAAAGCTGGTAATTTTATTCCTCTATCTGCTACATTTTTTTGTAGAACATATTTTGATAAATAGACTTTTTAATTCTCAGTTAAATTAGCATCAAACCTTATTTTATTTAACTTCTCAAACATCTTTTGATTTGTCAATTTTTATACTTTTCTTGGCCAGTATAACGAACCAGATAGCCGAAGAGAAATATGGTCGTCTCATGAGCCAACTTATCAGCTCCTGCACTACATCCGATATCTTAAAGGTGCATTATCTACCATAATGCATATATTGATTAACTCTTATTTCAATTAATTTTGTATATTTGTAGTTTGTTTTTGTTCAACTTATATTTGTTCATACTACATAGTATATTTTAGATCTACGAAAATCAATTTGTGTCGAGGTTTTAGCTACGGGGAAAAAAGTCTGAGCTAACCAACACCAAGTTTTTCTTGGTTTACATGTTAAGATGGTGTTTAAGTTATAAATATTATTATATATTGAACACTTTGATTTGTTTTGACAAAATCCAACGAACTTAAGAAGAATTGGTTACGGCTTATATATGAAGGCGCTTCTTCTCTTTGCGTTATTAGTTATCTATCTTTAGTTTCGTCAATATGCCTGATTTGTGTCTTTTTCTTTCACTACAGCGTGTGACAACCCTTATTTCTGGTGAAATAATGAAATGGAAGACGAATGAAGTGGTTTTTCAGTTATTGGAAATGGCAGAAGTATCTCACCGTCTTCACCACCAATCACCAACTCAGACCGTTCGGCTTCATATTTATTAATGTTTGAATGATTTTGGAAAACGTGTTTCTGTTGCAGTTCCTAGCAGGTCTTGGGCCGCCGCACATTAACCGCCAAAACGTGAAATAGTAAGTACTGGCAGCGGTCACCGCCGCTGTTCCTTTCTCTTCTTCCTTTCACGCGATTTCTTCTCTTTTCGTTCTTTGTTTTTCGAGCCAAAACTCTCTCACTCTCAACGTTTTCTCCTCTTGATTATTTTTGTTAATTCTCTCAAATTCACACACTTGTTACTCTATTCATCTATCTCCAAAGGTATGAATCTCTTTTCTCCAGTTCGCCAACTGCTTCAAACTGAATCAAGAAGCAAGAGACCTCATCATGCACACATCGACTTCTAGATATGCGATGTTACCGGGTACACAAGTTCGTGCATGCTTCAATCACCGAGCTACTGCTGGAGGTTTATTGGCAATCAAGTTGAATGAGGCACCTCTTCCTACATCCTTGAGATTTAAGGCTTGTATCATGCTGGTTATGGGTACAGAAGAAACGTGTGAGTCCTCGACGTTGGTATGGATTAACATCGTGGACAAACAAAATGATCTCAAGGTTGAGTGTACACCAAGCTGCCATGCAATAGATATATATTTAACAGAGCATATATACACATTTGAAGTTGAAATAGAGGAGGTGACTTCCATGGAGCTGGTCTTTGAGTTCGGAATATCAGAGAATGCGGGCTACTCCAAATCTTGGAGGTCCCTTCATATTCATGAGCATGATGAAAGCTTCTAGATGGCATCAATGGAGGAGGTATTGAAATTCTCTGCCATTTTGATCTCGTGTTGAACTTGTGTATGATTATCAATGTGTAATGTTGGGTTATATTTAATTGAAATTAGGTGCAGATAAGGAGATAAAATGCAAACAAAGATAGAATCATGAGTAGAATCTGAAAATCCATGGTTATGTTTTTGAAAAGAGAACATAGAGAGTCAGCTTCATGTTTGAAACCATAGTACGAAGCATGTTGTCCAAACTAAAACCGGTTTTTTAGGAGAGTGGTTTTGATTTTTAAGTTATATGGTACGGTTTCTTTCTCTGTTTTCTTATATATTTGAGCAGATTCAAATTGATTAATATGCTGTGTAATTGATTACACTAAATAATGCAAGTCTTGTTGTTGCAGTCACATGACAACCATGCAACCAAAGTACATAAAGGCGTACTTAGCACCCAAGAGAAGCCTCTGGATGCACAAGAGGGCGTTCTTGGTGAGGTCAGTTAAGATCACTCTCCCCGCTGAATGGTACTGTATAGTATGAACTGTGATAGATCAAAGCATGCCACCGCCAATGATCTTGGATCACTCGACGTGTCCAGGATCGTGAGGAGGACCTCGAGTATATCATGAATTCCTTATCTCCGAGGGGACTACATCCCTAACACAATTTCTTTTTGATAAAAAAAAAAGGGGTAGTTGAAATATACATCGCTAACACTTGCTTCAGTGTGTTTAATTGAACTTTTATTATACAGGAACTCGAGGCCCAATTTAAGAACTGAACCATACCTTAACATGAGGTATATCATGAATTCGACTTCCTAAACAAAGACTAAACCGAGAACCAATTCACTTTGGTTTCGGCTTTCAATTGCATGCATAAACTATATTCTTATTTCCTTCATAGTGATCTTCCCACAATAAAGATTCTCTATTTCCTCATTGTTCTTATACATTTTTTCAGAATTTTTAGCGTGTTCGAATTTGCTGGTAACAGTACTTGTTTTTATCAAACTTCCATAGAAGCGTGAATCTTAAAAAAAAAGAAACAATTGACGTCAAATTGTGCTACCAAGTCTCTGATTATATGAACATCCAAGTGCTTGGTTATTATGAACGTTACTTTTGCTAAACATAGTGTACTTAAGATCATAATAAAGATCCGCAAATTCATACTGAATATCTTTTTCACATCTCTTTATATTTTACGTTATGAGTTTTTTTTTATAATCCTACTTGTATGGATATTTAGTAGTTCAAATTGGTAAAAGAAAAAAAAGTTAAAAAAAGAACTTCGATGTCTCAACGAACACCAAAATGGCAAAATTTAATATTCCATATATGTTATGTTTTTCTATCAAGTATGACATTTTTTTTTTCCCTTTTTAAGTAGATTAACGATATATATTTTAAAATATTATATAGCGAATTTCACATTTATTTTATTTGTTTGGTATCTCTATAGACTTAAGCACGTGAGACCATTTTAGAAAAATAAAAAAAATCATCGAACTTATTTTTTTTTTTTCAAACATAGACGCTAAAAAGCAAAGTTCTCAACGATATGAACGAGAGCTCACTACGTAAGCACGACCTATATCACCTCAAATCCTTTTTATTTTTGATTTAGCATTGATTAAAGAATATGAAACTCGACTGATTGTGAAGTGATGATGATAACAATAGATACCTACCAAAGAAAGTTTTCTTAACTGAGGGAGAAGATAGTCTAAAGATTCTTAGTAACAAGCACATAAGTTCTAACTAATCCACCTAATCGTATATTTTATTTATTTATTTATTAGGTTTGATGTTAATTGATATTACTATATATTGCCTATATGTAGCGAAATTTTGAGGAATCATGGTTAATCTCTTTTGTCAACACTCTTAGCTAGGCTTATGATAATTAAATATTCATCTCTATTTTCTAGTGATGGTAGCTCGTATGATGATTTAACTTTTAATTAACGCCAATAATTTTTAGCAATTCTTAGTGGTTCGTTGGTGAGGAAAAAAAATCTGAAAGAAACATTGAGCGATAAACTCTGAAAAAAAATGGTAAGGAAAAAACATAATTTTCAAATTTGAGACGTTTTAGTTTTCAATTTTGAAAATATTGATTAAATTTTAAGGTTATGTTGATTTGGCCATCTAAGGCATGTCATTAAGTTGATAGACATACTTCGTTTATGATGTTTTAACTGCCCGTAAGAAATTTTGTCTATCTACTTAACGACATATTTCAAATAGTCAAGTCAACAAAAATTATGTTTATTTACTTAATGATTTAATCGATATTTTTAAAATTTAAGATTAAAACGTCTCAAATTTATGTTTTTTATTTATATTTTCCGATAAACTTTTGGCAATTATATATAGTAAATATGTTTCCCACCATTTTTTTATTAGTCTTCTAGCATATAAGAGTTTCTAAGTCTATACTATCACATTTGGCCCTTTTTGTGGTCCGAAAACAAGCTCACAAGTTGAAATGTACTATATGTTATAACTTACAACGGAGTAGCTAGTTTTCAGGGTTCACTTTTTTAGATATACAGTAGGATTACAAAGTTTGTAGTAGCTATTTATACGTGGAAATTGATTCATTGCAAATTTTACGACGTATGTGCGACAAATACAAATTTGCAACGCTCAATCAGCAACGACATCAAATTGGTCGCGTGTTCATTGCAATTCTATATTTGCAACGTTATTTAGGCATATAGCAACAATTTCCAGTATTGCAATATCCATATTTTCTTGTAGTGAATTTCTCTTTGGCAAAAATAAGATCATGTCCAAACTAAGACATGACGTCGTTAAGAATATTTCAACAAATATATAAATCTTTTGTGAAGAAAGCAAATCCAAATTTGTCTTTGCCAAATTTATTACAGACTCAGATATTTCCTGGTATAGTTCAGAATAACTGAAAGTCTGAAAAAACAAACAAAAATTGATGTGTTCCACGACTCTTAACAAAAAATTTACTTAAAAACAATATTTCAGGTGATAAATGTATAAACTTTATATATATAACAAACAAAAAAAAAAAAAAACTCAAGATGCTCGTGATGACCAAAAATACAAGAGGGAGTGCAAAGACAACGTATTGACTTTTGTAGTACAAAGTAGAAACTAATTAGAAAGCCCTTCAAACACGTCTCATGCCGTGACAAACATCTTTCATTCTAAGTTTCAATAATAAATTAAGAAGTCTAATATTAATAAAAAAAATAAAGCTTAGTGCTAATAGCCACACTAAATAAGAAACAAAATAAAGCTTAGTGCTAATAGCCACACTAAATAAGAAAAAAAACAAACTGAACCTAAATACGATTTGGTTTTGGTTATAAGTTTATAAATAACGTTTTTAGTTAACACTTTTATGATTGGTAATTGCTAAACAGTAAATCTCATACCTCAGTGATACAAAATTACCAATTAAAACAATATATAGGTTTGTTTTATTTATCAAAAAAAAAACAATAAGATTGTTTATTAACTATCAGTTCCACAGTTTTTACTCAATATTTGACCAAAAACCAATTGTAATTGCATGAAGTATTATTTCACATAGAGTACTGTTAACCATCATTTTGTGTCAAGAAATGTGTCTGGACTCTGGAGAGGTAAAGTATTACACCGAGACAAGAGCCCATATTGTCTCTTCTTTATGTATTTTATTCGTGAAGTCCAATGTTGGAATATGCTCATTTCTAGAAATTAAAGTACCAATTCATTGTATTTTGAATATTGGTAAAGCATTAGACCGAATCTCTATGCAATATTTATAATCTTTTTTTTTTGGGCAAAGCAATATTTATAATCTTATGATACTATGTAACGAACAATCTTTTGAACTCGTCCATCAAAACATTCAAAATGCGATTTAAGAAGGGATGATTAGGTAAGCTTAATAATTAATTCAGGAAAAAAAAACTGACTGCTCTCATTGGTTATTGTAGTTCTATTTGATTGTTTTACATAAATGAGAATAATGTTCATTAATTAAAACATAAACGACCTAACCTTTGAATAATGTCCATTTGTATTCAATATTTATATCAATTACTCATTTCATATATCAAATACTTAGCTTAAAAATCGAGATATCAAGATGTTTTTAGATTGGAGTGGCGAATCACTATATTTCATAATAAAACTGTCAATTTGGTCAAGGTGTTTTCATATACTTTGGAGTATTTTTAACGTAATTGTACCAACCTATGTTCATGGGAAGCATAAAAGTGCTTGTTGGTGGTGGTGGCCGGCACACCAGATATTTTGGACATGCGTTTAACTATTTTTGTATGTATGTACGTGATTATATGTATAGCCTAACTCATAATTCATATGGTTTTATTTTATACTATTATTTAATGTTTTTTGGTTGGTAAAATCAGCAACAACGATGTTTTCCGAATACCATTCGATAACGAATCAACTGTCAAAGGATTTTTTTTAAATACGTTCCGACAGATATTAAACCACTTAATCACGAAATTATATACTCTTAATTAGTGTACTAGTAGTAATATGCAATTTTAACTACATGTCCTAAAGAAAGAAAGAATGGTAACTCGTGAAGATGGAACAATAAAATTATTCCATGATTTTGGAAGTTGCTACCCGATTTTATATGTGTAAAGAATTCAATTATTTCGTTTTTCCAAAATATAAGTTGTAAGAAAAAAAGTTTTTTTTTTTTTTTTTGTCATCTGATTTTATATATAAAAACATAGAAAGATACATTTTGAGATTACATACGCCGGCAGAAAACCTGAATATCCCCGGAAACCAAAGCTCAAAAGAGGGAAACATAAGCCGGCGGACGACATAAATGTCCCCGGAAACTAGGCGAACTTAAAACACTGGAAATACAAAGCAAATATAGCAAACCGACAACGCAAGAGAACGAAACCATAAACTAAAAAAGAAGCAGAAGGTAAAAACCTTAAGAAAACCAATAGACAAACGAATACAAGGAAACCACTTCTTCTGAAGCACCTGCGATTGAGATTTACCTAGGATGTCCGCGGCCAATCCTAAAATAACATCTACCTTCTCCTATCACGATGAGAGCTGATCTCTCGAAACCAAGAAACAAAGACTTCAGAACCCGGCAAGCAAAACCTATGAGTTGAGAGAACCTCGAGCACGCTTCCGAATACGACTACGACGACTGCCACGTCCAACAAAGTCTAACTAGAAATCATCAAAAGGCAATCCTATCTAAACAGATTCAGGAAAGCAAGACAAGGAGTGAGGCCCAACCTCTCAAAAATCACCAATCACAAGAACGAGAACGACGATGGATCGAGACGGTTGTCAAACACAGCGAACAACATCAGGTAGAAGAAGCAACTGCAAACATAGAGGTCTATCAATCCAAAACAAACAAACGAAACTTCTTCTTAGCAAGGTGACGAACCCAAAAGAAATCAATGGTTAAGACGAGTCGACCAGGAGCGGATAGAAGAGCAGAGTCTGGACAGAACCTGACTAGAACCCAAACATCACTCAACAAACGGCTTAGAGACTATCAACGCAAGAACGACTAGGCTAGGGACGGAACAAGCAAAACCAAGGCATAATTCTTAGAGCAGCACCGTAGATCCTATACATCCGGAGCCAACAGTTTCGCAATAGCCACAAATCCCATAGACAAAGTCGCTCCAACCGAATCCGCAAATCACAAAATCAAACTCGAAGCAAATCCAAAGAATCCCCAAACGCAAGCCGGAAATACTCACTCAAACCAAAACAAACTAGCCTCAACTACTCAAAGGAGGAAGAGCAAGAAGAAATCTTACCCGACCCGAAACAAGCCTCACCGAGAAGACCGTCAACTACGCTGATAAGCTAACCTCACCACCGATCCACCAGAAGAAGCCGAGGCGATGCAAGACAACAAACAGACAAAGAACGACAGAGCAATACAGCCCCTCTCACAGTGACGGCGAGGAGCGCCGCTCACCGGAGAGGGAGATCGGAAATCAAAATTTCTGGGTTCTCAGAAGTGTCGGCGGCTAGTTTAGATCTACATGTTGTGTACTAATCATTTGTAAGAAAAAAAGTTAGTATCTTATAATTTTTTTACATTAAACTATCTTCTTTCAATTGTTTATGATTTGTTTTTATTTTAATTTTCTATTTTTACGATTCCATGATGATATCATCGACCAGAACCAATCAGAAAGTGTAAAGCAGGGATACTTTAAAGAATAAAGAGTGTAATTATTTCCTATGATACAAATTTATTTCACTTAGGTGTTATATAATACAGTGACTCTTAAACTTGAAAAATTACAGGGTAGTTAATAAACATCTATATTACATGAAGTACTAAACCCTTTCAAAGGAAAAAATAAAATTAAGGAAATGCAAAAGAAAATAAGAAACTAAAATTTCTGGAAAAAAGCTTGAGCCAGAAATAAAATTTTACAAAAACAAACTAGTATAGTTTATTTATTTGTCTTTTTGTAAATTTCATCATTTTTTCCACCAAAATGTTTGGAAATTTCCTTATCCCCAAACTCCTAAAAATTTCTGACCAATGAAACTCAAAACATTTCCAACGGAGCCTTTCTCCTTCTCCGCCTCTTCACCACCGCAATTTCCATCTTTCCCCGAGTCACCACCACCAAACTCGGCCGAACTCGAATCCAACTCACTGAGTCGACTCGTTCCTACCGAGTCAACTCGTACAGAAGCTTTTCCCGATCGTTTTCTCCGATCTTTTTTCCTCTTCTTCATCTCCAAACTATCTTCGAAAGCATCGATGATCTCGTGAATGAGTTGGCGACTCGGTGACGAGTCCCATCTGACCCAGTAACTCGTGTAGCAACTAAAACAATCACAGACGAAAAGAGGAGAGTGATGATTATCTTCTTTGCTTGCTTTGTGGGTTTTGTTTTTCTTGAGGTGAGAAAAACGATTTGAGTCGCCGGAGTTTGAGATGAGGTAAGCAAGAACTTCACGGTCTTCAGCCGAAAGCGCCGCCACGAGAGAGAGGATAGCCACGGGGAGAAGAGAGAGAAACTGGTCGTCGGTCTTTATCGCCGGCGACGGCGACGGATGAACGGTTCCTTTCCGGCAGAGCTTCTTCATAGAGAGAGAGAGAAAAGAGAGATAGAGAGTCTTTCTTGAAGAATGAGTTTGATGAGACTTTGAATTTTGAAAGGTTTTTTTCTTTATTCTTGATGCCGAATTTTGAAAGGTCTAAGAAAGTCCAACTATGTTTTCTTTTTATTTGTTTTAGAATATTTTTCTTTCTAATTTACTGTTTATTCAAATAAATTTGACGTTGAAGGAAATAAAAATGTATGGATAATGGATAGGTTTATATTGTGGCGGTATCTACTAACCAAATCCCACATGTAAATCATAAGATTCATAACATTTGTTTAGTTACTAGAATATGATCTGTCAGTGTAATCCAATAACCACGAAATTGTTTTCAATTTTCATCAAAAAAGATAGACACTTAACCAAAATGATTTTTAGAAAAGAAAAATTAATATTAAATGGTAATTAGTGAGTTTCTTACAAATGTTTCTCTTATAATTATTGTTTTAATTAGGTCTGATCATTTGACCCCTTTTATGTAAACTTCCCAGTGTTTTTAAAATTCAGACGATTACTATTGGATTTCTTTTTTGATGAAATATTGGACTTTTTCTCTTTACCTTTTCTTTTTAAATTTTTTTGTAAAAAAGAACTTTTTTCTATGCACAAAAGTTTCCTTTGTTTGTTTTGAAATTATACGATAATGATCGGTTTATTTTTCATAATACGATCTAATTATATTTGAAGCTAATAAAATGGTATAACGTTGTTTAAATAGCATAGGAGCATAGCATGTTCGGTAAAATAAACAAAATCACAAAGATTATATTAAAAAAATAGCAAATGTTTTGCTACAGTGTGAATTACGTTAGATTTCATCGGATTATTATTTTTCTTCTAGATGCTTTACCTGCATTTTTCTTTTTTGGTTTAATGGTTTTAATTTTATTGCAAAAGATTCAAAATTTTACAGAGCAGAGTTTGACCTTGTGGTCGACACCAACAATTTCGTGATAACTTGTAGTTGAATATTGAGTTAATAATCAATTTTTTGGACAAATTTTAGGACCTGCACTTGTTGTGTATGAAAAGAGGAAATATATGATATCTCAAAATTTTATTTTATCTTTTTTTTTAGACATCAAATTTATTTTATCAATTACAAGAAAATCCAGTGTTATCCTATTGTAAAGTCCACTTCCATTTTTTTAAAAAAATTCCCCTTTTAAATATACTAAAAGATTGTTAATGAAAGGAAAACATTGGCTAAAAATTTATTTATTATGCTACATGTTGCAACCTCATAAAAACATAAGGACTACATTTTTTTTTTTTTGGGGAAATTACATAAGGACTAATATTATTTATTTATTTTCTACGAATTCTAAACTCTATATTTTTAATTAAAGCCCGTTTATTGGTAAAAAATATTTTGCATATTTGTAAGATTAGTGTTCATTCATGCAAAGTCTTCCACATGATTCTAGCCCATGATCGGGTATACCAATGGGCCTAAAGAGTCTATTACTCTATTGGTCATTTAAAGACTAAAGAATCTATTGGTCATTAAAAACAGAAAACCCAAAAAAATGAAATGAAAATGAAATCTTTTGTGAATTTGTAGATACTTTTTTGACTATAATGACAATGAAACACACATTGCCGTCAAAAACACTTAGACACCCAATTTTCTTTTTCGGGGAGAAGGAATAACGCCAAAATACCATTCAATATCTATATAGACATTCGTCGTTTTGACTAAATTTGTGTTGAAAAATGAAAATAAACCAAAACAAATCTGACTCGGTCAGTATAGTTAAAACCGTTCCAAAATGCACGTTAATTTAAAATAAATTACGTATTAATTTACTTAACTAAAATCAACAAAAATATTAATATTTAGTATTTACAAACAAAACCCGATAACTACCTTACATATATCAGCTCAAAAAGATTCACTCATTTATTTTTCCGATTATTATTACACTTCAACCCCACTAACGTTGAAAGCAACCGAAAGCTGACCAACCATAACCTTAAGACCTTTTGCTTCCCAAAACTCTTCCTTGCAACCCTTAAACGCCGTCGTATCATAAGTATGAACCATGTCGTAATTATTCGTCGTCGAAGTTCGTTTATAAAAACCAAACCACTTAGCTTGCATGTAACCGTTTCTCCTCCACGGTGGCACGTGGATACCTACGTGCTTCATCGACCGTCTCATCTCGTGGCACATGATCCTCACGAGCAGTTTCAGCTCCTCCGAAGTTCCCACGAAGACACGTGTGACTTGGTTTAGTATTGAAAGGTACCGTTTCGTTGGTCGGGCTATCTCAAATTCTCCGGCTAGGTTTGTCTCCACGATATACCGATTATGATCTCCGCCGCATCGAATGTCGACGTACTCGTATTTTCCGCCGGTGTTCTTGCCGAATCTCTCCCAACTTGACTTGCAAAGACCTATACACATACATGGTGATGATTATCGTCATTTATCTAACATAGTACAACTTATTATTACAAGCACCACGAGTACATCACAAAACAAAAGAAAGTACAACTTTTCTTGTTGCTGCAATATAAAGTACGTACACACTTATTATTTGAAGTACAACATATTTATAAAATATTTAGACTGTTAGTACAACTTAATTATTTCAAGTACCATGAATGAGATATGAAGTGGAACCGAGTCTTTTTCTCAACATTAATTTACGTAACTTCTGTTTAATAGTATGATTAGTAAGCAATTGCACAAATACTATATATCAGTAGAAAAAACAAATTTGGCTACTTGCGGTGAAAAGAAAAACTAGTTATCTTATCAACTGTTTGACCGCAAGAAAAAAAAATTCGTTTTTTAAGTACAGAATCTAAAACGAATGAAGAAAATTCTCTTGAGTTATCTAAATTTTTTTTTATATAAAAGTAGTATTAAAATTTTTTTGCAACCTTATGTACTAGAGGATAATTAGTAAATTATTATTAATATATTTTGGAATTGTGATTTAAATTTTTAAAAAATGGTGGAATGGAATCATGATGAAAATAAATCTTCACTTAAAACTGTTTTTAAAAAAAAAACACATAGAGAAAATAAAAACTAGATTGATTTTAGTTATTAACACTCGGAAAATCACGAGATCGTTAAACAAAAACACAATTCTACATATGATATGAAAATCATTCCGTAGGTTAGCTATAAACCCTAAAATTAGTCATAAACTAGTATGTAAAATTTCATTATACTATATAGAGAGAGATGATTAGATTATACTTTTTTTTTTGCTAAGAGATGATTAATCATATACAAACCTGCATCAAAACCCTTGTTACGTAGAAACGCCATCAATTGACGCTTAGGAGAACTAACATCTCCGACGAACGTTCCAACAACCTCCATCATCGCCGCCATTATTCTCCTCCGCTCTTCGCCGCGGGACAAACCTTCTAAAAGCTTCCGTAACCTCTCCTTCACATCTTCCAAATCGTTATCGTCGGAAGAAGTTTCTTCTTCCTCACGTAATACTATTTGTCCTTCTTTCTCCATAAAAGATGCGACCAAATCCGAAAGATCCGGCGAATGATCGCTTCCGCTACTGTTATCACACGGCGGACGTACACGCGCCGCCGCTACATTGAAAGCCAACTCAACTCTCTTGAATCTTCCCTGAATCTCAACCATCTCTTTCCTTTGTTGTCCTTTTTGATAAAATCTTTTTTGACGATATTCAAATGATTCGGAGAATTTATAACGTATATTTATAATACCTATACGATTTAATAGAGAGAGACTAAACGGAGTAAACGACAAAATGATAAAAGATGACGACAGAGTGGTGAAATTATGTGACAAGACTGAAAAGTATACTCAATAATTAGGTGAATAGAGTTAAGGCCTTTAATGCAATGTTTTTAACTTTCTATTGAAGATAATTGTGATTTGTGAATGTGTATGGTTAAATTTTGTAGTTAGTTCTCAGTTTTATCACACTATATAATATAGCGTCTAGATTCACTTTGCATCAAAATAAATTCTTCAATGGTTATACTCTTTATTATGAATTTCATGCTTTAAATTAATTAATTCTAAACTAAATTATTCAGATTTATTTCTATGTATACGACAAGGTCTGGACATTCGGTTAACCATTCGGTTTCGGTTCGGTTGCGTTCGGTTTCGGTTAGTTTGGATATAGTAATATAATAACCATTCGGATATTTTAGGAATTTCGGTTCGGTTACCTTTCGGTTTGGTTTGGTTTGGATATTTAAATAGATAACCGTAACTAACCAAACTTTTATTACGTTCGGTTTGGTTTGGATTTTTACCCAAAATAACCGAAATTTACCGAAACTAACCGAAACTAACCAAAATTAACCAAAAAGAAAATACAAAAGAAGAAAAATATTAGAAAGAAAATTAAAATTTGATTCAATTTTGTAAAAGAGTATTTAACTTTGACAAATATAACAAACAATATTTGGATATTTTGATTATTTAAAGTATTTGATTGTTTTGATTCTAAAAATAATTAATATGTTGAGTTTATAAGTATAGTTTTGGGTATTTTATAGGTTTTTGGATATTTCGGTTAACCGTTTAGTTATCGGTTCGGTTCGGTTCGGTTTTTGTTAGTTTGGATAGGAGATTTTACTAACCATTTGGTTATTTTAAAAACTTCGGTTCGGATATGGTTCGGTTCGGTTTGATCGATTATTTGGTTAGCGGTTTTTTTGTCCAGGCCTATATACGACAAAAAAAAAAGTAAAAATTTGACCAAAGAAAAAAAGAAAGTTTATTTTAGATTTGTGTTGTTTATTTTCTTTAACCTACGTACACGTCATAGTAGTTATTGGCTAACAATTGCTGACGTGGACTAAAGATTGTGCGTGTTTAGTCTAATGTGCCGGCGCGTGAGCACATGTGTCAGACAACAAGTGAGTCGAGGTTAACACGTGATAGTCACGTGACAAGATGTGGTTATCTTGTTTTTGTTAGATTTGAGCTCTGTTTTTGGTATTATATTCAGACGCGGAAATTAGAAGCAGACTGCAGACATATAAAACTAAAGAACGTCTCGGTTCAGTGTATTTGATTAATAAGGTTTACGTTTGCTCATTGCCTCTCTATTTTCCATTTGATGGTTCATAAAATAGTTGTTTAAGATATTACTAGCATCACTTTTTTGTACACAAGTGAAAGACGTGATAAAATCATTTTTTTTTTTTTGAATTTAATGTTAAATTATATTCAAAGAAAAATAAACGTTTCTACATTGTTAATGCAAAACTTTTATAACTTCTAATAGAGTCTATCCGTTGTCATTGTCTTGTTGCAAACCATGTTTGGATGCCACTAGCGAGTGAAAAGTCTCCTCCTCTTGTAATCGTGCTCATCCGATTACGAACATTCTTGTCAATCAATTTAACAAGCTTCTCCGTCGTGGAAGGGTGTTCCCCGTGTCTTCTATTGTTCCTCTCTCCCCAAAGAGAGTGTATCGTGTTCTGAAAAGTATAACCAATAAGAAACTTTTGCACCTTGCCCAAGTCTCTGTTGGCTAGTAGTGTCATCACATCCCTCCAGTTTTGCGAGAATTTGTCGAGTAAAAAAAAAAATCATCTTTTTGATACTAGCACCACCCTAGTTCTATTGGTCACTGTCTCATGTTGGGGTTTCAAAATTTTTTGGTTAGTATGGGTTTGGGCCAAAGACTCAATCAATTTACTTGGTAATTCAGAAGCATACGATCTGGCTACTCCCAGTCCTAAGCATTAGTCAGAAAGCATTCCAAACTCGGGATAAACAGTGTGATAGTCCTTTAAGAAGAAATCCACTTTATAGCACTTTGGTGCGTTTCTACCGAAGCTGACCGGATCAGTCGATGATAATAAAAAAAATTAGATAGACATAAATCATAAACTAGTTTGTCGTAAGACATAGTAGGACTAAACCCGTGATTACAAGGCGGAACAGATAAGGATTAATATTTGTAATTTTTGAAGATCATGGTCTTTCATCATGGACCAGGCCACAATCTAATGTAATTTTTAAAGTTTCAATTGGAGTTACATTACCAAAAATCATCTTTTTTGATACTAGCATCACCCTAGTTCTATTGGTCACTGTCTCATGTTGGGGTTTCAAAAATTTTGGTTAGTCTGGATTTGGGCCAAAGACTCAATCAATTTACTTGGTAATTTAGAATCGTATGATCTAGCTATTCTCAATCCTAGGCATTAGTCAGAAAGCATTTCAAACTCGGAATAAGCAGTGTGATAGTCCTTTGAGAAGAAGTCTATTTTATAACACTTTGGTGCGTTCCTACCGAAGATGACCGGATCAATCGATAATAAAAAAAAATTAGATAGACATAAATCATAAACTAGTTTTTCATAAGACATAGTAGGACTAAACCCGTGATTACAAGGCGGAGCGTGTGAGGATTAATATTTGTAATTTTTGAAGATCATGGTCTTTCGTCCGGCCACAATCTAATGTAATTTTTAAAGTTTCAATTGGAGTTACATTACCAAAAATAATCTAAGGGGGGGTATTGGGGGAATGAATTTGACGGAATTTTATAGAAAGTTAGATTCTAGTGTTATTCAATTAGGCATTTTATAAATTCCTCTAAATTCTAACGTTATTCAATTTTTCAATTTCTTAATTCTATTAAATTCAAGTGTTATTCAATACTAGATGAATACCCACGCTACGCGTGGGTTTGTTTTGAAAATTATGAAGAAAAAATTATTGATTGTTCTTGCTTATTATGTTTATTTTTTATTTGTTATTATGTAGTTAATAAAACTATTCAATGTTGTGTATATCGATATTGTCAACTTGAGTTGTATCTGCTGTTTTCATTTTGTAATTCCCGTGTAGGTTGTACATGATGGTGGTTCTGTATCGTTTTTATGTTCCTTGCACCTTGGTAAACATTTATTGATGCTGTCTAAAACACATATAATCTGGTATAAACAATGTTTGTTTGAGTATTTATAGAGTTTATAGTAGTGAAAGTTTGTAATCCCATAAGCTGAGAGTGTGAATATGTTTTTGTGTAACTTCTACCGTGGCCTCCATTATGGCAGTTAGAAGGTAGAAAACGTTTGTTCTAAAGAAATATGATGTACAAAAAGGGAGACTATGAAGGATGGAATTTACGAAGTCGAGAAATTTGCCTTGAGATTCTTATTCTTTCATATTGAACAATCGAGCAGAGAGTTGGAGAGATTTATTTTGTTTAAGTCTTGTGGGGAATTAGAATATTTGTTGGGTTAGAAGCATTAAGCCATTACTGAAATGGGCTCGACCCATAAATATTGCACTCTAATAGATTCTAAAACACATATGGTCCATCCGTCATGGGCTATTTTGTTTATTCCATTTGACACTTATAATTAGAAGCTGATGTGTATTAATGAAATGTTTTGATTGGACGAATAAAAAGCTGATGTGTCATCTCCAGAAGAGCCAAAAATGCTGACGTGGCGGAAGGATGGAGAGAGATAGCCTCCTTTCATATATATGATTATGTAGTTTTGTATGACAATGTCATTTGACAAGAATTTAATAGAAATATTAGTGCAAAATGTAAAGAACAAATTCTTAGCTTTTAAGGTGTGATTTGGATGGATATTTGTAAGGGCCTCAAATGGCTCGTATAAGGAAGGGTCTGCTCGATCTAATGGAAAGACTAAACTGCTAATTACACGATTAAGCCTAATGTTGTTATTGTTGATGTTCCTGATTCTCGTCTTCAAGTGCTCTCCAAACTTTTACTGGTTCTTAGAAAAGGGTTCATGCATGTATAGAGTTTGTGGACATTGCTGGTCTTATGAAAGGTGCCAGTCAAGGCAAAGTAACATTCATACTTCTTTTTCTCTATCTCTCTCTCAATATCTTTCTTGTTTCCTCAAGATCTATAGGACTGATCAGCGATAATGGCAAAGTGTCTCCGGAAAATCTCGATCCTCTCATCCTTCACGTATTCCCTCCACCTTTGGTAACGCCTGTTTGGGATCGTCATTGGGCAGAATCATCTTCGACGCCATTAGCTGCGGCGATAGCTCTCGTTATCGACGTGAACTCCGAGAAGAATACAATGAAGATGTTTCGAAATCTGCAATGATCAGAGAGGATTTAGCGAGGAAAGCGGAGAAGCTATGCGATCTGTAAAACTTAGCAGTGATTGAGAGTAGTGCTGAGACGAAGAAGGAGGAAACGTTGGAGATTCTGAAACGTGTGATTAGAGAAGTGGAGACTGCGGAGAAGAAATAGGTTCGACTGTTAAAATTGAAATTAGAAAAATTATTATTAGCACCTTTTTAATTCCATTAAAATTCTATTCAACTCTATTAAAATGTTGAAAATATAATCGCTAGAATTAAAAAGAAGATTTGAAAATCTTTTACAATACTTGAAAATCTGTTAATTATGTATCCAATTCTATTCTATTAAATTCTTTGATTGAATACCCCCACCTAAATTTCCTCGGTGGAGAAATTTATGATCTTAAAAAAAAAAAAATAATAATAATAATTTATGATCTATGCAAAAAACGAAAGGCCGAAGCATGTTCACAAACATAAGAAATTGATATACGTTTTCTCGGCCTATTTCCACAAAAACAACGTGGGCTTATCTACAAAGCCCAGAAGAGTCGAAGACCTCCTTATTTATACGTCACCGTTTTTGATGCATTCAATGTTCCAGTTAAAAAGCATAGAACAGATCGAATCATCATGAGACAAAGTGACAAACAAACCAAATATCTCGTTTCAATTTAACCAATATACAAAATACAACTAAAGTACTAAACCACCAAAGCTACTAAATAAGTAGATGGAGATACAACTTCCTTCAAACCTATTGTATCAAATGAGAAGACTTGAAAGAAAAAAAAAAACTTCTAATTTTCGACAAATTTTGAGAGGATTTACAATGGCAGAAAACAAATCGTATCCAATTTTAAATTTATTGTCTCTAGTAAAGGACAAAGATAAAAGGATATTCCAGAGAAACCTGTTCTTGGAGAATCAGAATCTGAATAAAAGAACTTTTGGGGGGGGGGGGGGGAGTGGAAACTATGAGAGCTTGTCCTTCAGCATTTGTCCTAATTTCACGAACAGCGCTTGTTGTTCCTCGAAAGTAAGGTTCGTCAATACCTACAATGAAACCATCACATGATTGATTTAATGATTCGTCTCAAAAGTGAATTTTTGGTTTTGATACAAAGTCGAGAAGTTAATTTACCTGGTCTAGGATTTTGTCAACCGAAACGCTTTGGGAGACTATAAATGACTGGAGATATATGTAAGCAAATACTGCCATAACCATCTGTGACAATAGATTAGATTAGGTCTGATTATGTATATGCTTAAAGATGGGAGTTACAAAAGAAGAATATGCAACGAGAATCTTGTGAATGAAGAACTCTAATAAGCATAGATGTAAACAGTAAAATGCCTTGTTTGTGTTTACATTTAGTTTGTAGTTTTTTTATAAATCATTACGCAATTATGCTATTTAAAGACCTAATCATAATCTTACGAAGAGATAGTAGTTTCATTAGAGTTACCTGACAGTCCATTCTGTCTGTGATTCCACCATGTCCTGGAATACTATCACCAAAGTCCTGCGATTACGGTTTTTATAAGGTAAATGTTTTGTTAGCGGTTAGATGTGTATGGAAAGTGAAGCTTAGCTCAAATTTGGTGGTATTGATGACAGACCTTGATTTTGAATGCTCTTTTAAACCCGCTAGCGAAAAACCCTCCAAAAGGTGCTATGATTGAAGCGAACAAACCGAGGCATAATGCATGCCACTGAACAGGGAGGACCGTCATTTCCTTCCAAGGAAACTGCACAAATGAAGTAGAAAGTTGAGAAACCTCATGCAATATTATATAAAACAGAAAGACAAACCGTAGAGTCTAACACTATTACTGTTTTCCGTTAGCTAGTAAGAGCTAGCTGAGTAACATCCATAAAATGGCCAAAATCCAAACTTCAGAAACTAATAAAAAGGCCAGGATCCAAACTTTTTTTAAAAATACACTATGAAATAAGTAATAAATTATCGGATTTCGCCTACATTCACTTATACATGCCTAGAAATATACCAAGTACACACACCAAAATATAACACCATCGATAAGTTTCTTCCAAACGATGCGACATGATACCAAAGCTTACCCATTCTGGGATCCATGCAGGTAAAGCAAAAGGTTCAGGTTTGAACAATGGATCAGCGTCACACTGTAGCCACCCAGTGGACAAATCCTGCAGAATGATTCACAGATTTACTATAAGCTCCCTTAAAGATCGTGTGCAAGGTAAGTGTCATTCTTTTTGCTCAATGACGAACCTGTCGTGGGCATGTCAACCAAGGGAAACGACCCAAAATATTTGCCAGCTGAAACATTACGCATACAGAACATTTCAGAAGCATGGTGAAGAAGAATATAATGAAATGATGTAAGCATTTTAATGTGCCATGTGGTGGCAGAGGTAGAAATTACTCACAACAAATGCAGAGATGATAGTTGTCACAGAGGCTCCGATGAATCCCTCCCATGTTTTCTTTGGAGATAGCTTTATTAAGGGAGTTCTTCCAAAGAAGAAACCGAAAATGTAAGCGAAGATGTCGTTGATTATAATTAAAGATGCTGGAAGAAGAAACCTGCATTGGAAACCATCAAAAGCAGACAATTTACATTATAGCAAAGAAAAAAGTAAAACAGATGCAAGTGTAAGAAGCAATGTTTGTTAAGCACAGTCTCATCCTATGTGGTGACAAGTAGAAGAGGATTATTTCTTAGCAAACTTAACATACGGATAGACGGAAAAGCATAAACTTCATATAGTGACATTATTAAATGACTACCAGAAGATCCCTTCAAATATGTTGGCAACAGTGAACGACGATTGAGTAAACACGACTATCAAAATCATGTGGGTCCATGCATACTGGCCAAACTGGTACTTGTACATCTTCTTTTTTAATGTGAGAATGAACCACATGAAACCTGAAATTTGTTACATCAAGGCTAATTCCGTAAGCATCAAATGTAAGGTGAATCAACTAAGCCACACATCAAGACCTATTTTCACCGATGATAGAAAATCAAATTCCACAAAGACGAAAAGACGGTGAAGCAAGACTGACCTATAATATACAACAAGTAACAGATAGCCATATGGTATTTGATAAGGCCGGTGACTAGCCGATAAAAGAACTGATCTGCAGTCATGGTATTAGCTAACCGTTGACTAAGGATCCGGCCATATACGAAAAGCATGGCAGTGAAAAAGAAGTGCCTGCAGAGAAAAACAAACAGCAAGACGAATTAAACATCACCTGAGCCAATAGCCTTTTTGTTTTTGAACTAGAAGATAAAAAAGCTTCTGACTTTACCAATTAAGCTGTTTAATCCAGGGGAGACATTTATCCTCAGGTGCTTTCCTCAGCAGATTAAACAACTCTTTAGCCATAAAAATTTGAATAACAACAACCATAGCTGTGATATAGAGATGACCCATGTAGACAATCAAAACAAAACCACCAATCATCCATAAAGTCGAGTAAGTCCGGACCATGAAAGATTTGTACTTATTTCGATCATTAACCAACAAAGGACTTGCATTTACTCTGTCCCCATCCATAACAACCTAACACAAAGCAACACTAAGTAAAAACCTTACTTCAAATTTGTTTCAAATGAAAGTAAGAAGAATACAAAACAAACCTCATTAGAACGTCTTCGATGTCTAAGCCTATGTACCGGTGTTGAAGGTGAACTAGTAACATTCTCCTCTTCCATAGCTCTTAAAGTTTTGATTTTTACAAAAAAAATCAAGAGGATAACATCTGTACCAAAAACACCAACTTGAAATTAGGAATTTTGACTAAAACCCTATCAGTGGACGTCAACATCTGAGATTCCCAATCACTTAAATTAACAATCTAGCGATTATTGGATTGTGCCCAGAAGAGATTTTTCTCCAATTAAACTCAGATTTAATCGCTTCTTCGATTCGGAAGAAACTTGATACTTAAACTAAGAAATGAATTCAGACTGAAGCATGAACAGTGAAGTGACGAATTTGAGAATTAAGTAACAAGAAAATGTTCGATTTTTTTTGCGCATACCTATTGGGAAGAGAGATTTTGAAGCGAAGATCGGAAGAAGCAGCGACGAGAACGAGGAGAGATTTGCAGAGAGAGCAAAAAGGAAAAAAAAAAAACGAATATTGTTGTGTGAGAGAAAGCAAAGCAAAGCAAAGCGAAGCAGAAAATATCAGGAATCGAATTTTTTTTTTTTCCCCTTTTCTCTGGAAGAGAGAGCAAGCACGAGAATTAATAAAATATTTATTTTTAACTTTTTTTTTGTGATAACAAAAGATAACGAATTTATTCATTATTTTTTCTTCAAATGGAATTTTTTTTTGTTTTTGTTTACATTTCTGATATTCTATTTGTTAAATAATTTGTTGTTAGTATATTTGGCTTTTTCCTAAACCTATAGATGAAAAATGATAAGAAGAAGGTTTTTTTGAGAATATAAGTGTATAAAGATTATGATGTATACTTATAAAAGATTTTTTTTTTTTTTTTTTTTGGTAAAAGTATACTTATAAAAGTTACAAGAACGTTGACATTCTCTTTGATATTTTAAAATAGTTACTACTTGTTTTATATAAAACATAATCTTGAAGAAAAAATGTGTAATATTCAAATTAAAAACTTTGAATTGTATATCATATCCCTCGCGGAAACCAAATCTTTTTATATAGTCATATATCCTTCTCTAATATTCACGTCATTCGTTCCAACAATGATGCACAAAGTTAATTTATCTATGTTTTCACGTAGCTATGCCATATAAACCTATCTCATCGAGTGAGCGATTTCCTTTGTATATTCAATTTCATTGTACAATCCCTTTAAAATGATGAATGTGTCTTTAATTAACTGTTTAACATTTAATGCAGCTACTTGGCCACACACACTTATAGCATACAATCTTCACCAAGATTTCGTAGTTTTAAAGAGATCAACTAATCGTAGGCCTAAAGCTTATCATAAAACACTCTTCCGCCGCCAACATGACTCTAAAAACTAACTAAGTTCCATTGTCACTTTACCAATGTAGATAATTTTCAATTGTCATTTACCTAATAAACTCCTAAAGATATATTTGTATGATTGTATCATTTTGTAGAATATTTGTATCATTTTGTAGCACTTTTTGTTTATAGAAAAATAAAAAGAGAAAGGAACCAAATGGTCTCAGCGCACATGGGCCTTACCTGTCTCGGCCTCTTTAAGTCGATAAATTGTCCCCCAAATATTACATAATCTTATCACTTTAGTTGGAAATATTTTAATTAAATAATCTGACTTGAGAAAAGAAAAATATGAATAATCTGACAGAGCATAAATACATAATCCTGTTTTACTTATATAGTGTTGTTTCATAAAAGCATAAACCAAATTCCCTTTTTAAGATTATCTCTAGTAAAGATAATTTTAAAATATTATAAAGAGTTTATCAACGTTAGTCATTTAATTTTGGTGGTTGGAGGTTAATTTACGCATTTCAATAGGTTGGATTTAAAAATACACTTTACGTCTTCATCAAAAAGAAAAAAAAAAACACTTTTTCTGTTATAAACCATGTTCGGATGGACTCCATAACCGTGGGCCTTGACCACGTTCTAGAAGGTCCATGACACACTTCTAGAAGGCCCGTCCATAGTCGGCCCAAGGGCATAAGCGACCAAGGCAATTGGGGCATCCATAGAGGCGGTTTAGTCTTAGGCTTAGTGGGCTTTAGTGTTTCCTAGTCCAAGTGGGATTTGTCTCCCCTATTGTGTATATATATAAGTTGTAACCTCATTCATTAATCAATAAGAATACAAGAGATTCATAACATTTTCTTAATTGATTTTGTAAATGAAAATTCAATAGGCTGTTTTCTTTTTACAATTTTCCCATGGTTTTACAAATTTAAGTCAACTCCGTTAATTAGTGTACAAGTGTTGTTGTATTCGAGTAAATTTTCCTTTTATGTAAGAAAAATAATATGACGAAAAAATGAATAAAGAAAAAATTTTAAAACAAAAAAAAATAAAAAGGAAAAGAAAGAGAGAAAACGATGTTTTGTCGAATGAAACGACAAAACCTCCGCGCCGGAGCGTAACTCGACGGCACTTCCCGGCGTCGGAATCAGCGATTTAACCAAATTCTCAACTCTACGTTGCTGCAATTTTCCGACGATATGAAACCTCTTAAGATTCCGATTGCGTCCTTCAGGTCCGTTGATTCGTACGTGAAAGCATCTTCGATATTTATTCTAGTCTTCTATAGATCTTGTTTAAAACCAAGAAAGAGTTCTGATTACAATAAAAGACCAATGTTGTGTATTTTTGGTATGATTATTTGTGCTTTGGGTGTGTTGTTAACATATCATTATTGTATAGATACTTAACTTCATTATGTACATGTTTAACTTCAAATTATTAACAGATGATTTTCTTTTCATTATATAGATACTTAACTTCATTATGTACATGTTTAACTTCAAATTTTTAATATCATTATTGTATAATCTTGTCATTTATATATTGTCATCAAACTAAACTCTCTGACTAAACCAGAAATGCAAAACTCCAATACTAAGTACAAAACTACAAATCTTACAGGGTCCAAAAGTACCTTGTACAAGACTATTGACATACCTTAACACAGAAGCTTATACCTATAATGTTTGTGACAGACATGCATCAAAGTTATAACATACAGATGTGCACTCATGTCCTTTTGAGTTATTTAAAAACCATATTATTTGAATTATCGGTTAACGCGTTTTATTTTTATATAGAACGTTAGTCACGGCATCAGAATCTTTAGGGACATGTATCCAAGTTTATATATAGAGTTAAAGTCGGTGACGGTGGCTCCAATCTATGGCCGCGTAATTAAAGGTCAGTCTTTTGTCTCCTCCTTCGACGTGCCTATCAATATGTTATATAAAAACTATAACACAAAATTGATTGATACTTATAAAATTTTATAACAATATTAGATACGACTTCTGAGTTTATCATGAGTGTTATTTTTTATAAAGAAGCACATGGGAGTTCTTAGATGTCACAATTAGTGAGGTGGGGTCTCTTTTCCCATGTGCTAAATTATATTTTCTCTCAACAAAAACCTCTCAAAATTTTCAATTTCTCAAACTCTTTGAAACTAAGAAAAAAATGTTGTTGTTTCCTTCTACTTCTCTGCGTCTCTTCTTCTTTCTCTTCCTCTTGTTCTCCTCTTGTTTCTTGCAAATTAGAGGAGCTGATGATGATGATATAAGTGGTGATGATATCAAAGTCGACCCGAGTCTCAAGTTCGAAAACCCGAGTCTTCGACAAGCCTACATTGCTCTTCAATCATGGAAACAAGCTATTTTCTCTGATCCTTTTAACTTCACTGCTAATTGGAATGGCTCTGATGTTTGTTCCTACAACGGTATCTTCTGTGCTCCTTCTCCTTCTAGTCCGAAAACTCGAGTTGTTGCGGGTATTGACCTTAACCATGCGGACATGGCTGGTTATTTACCTCGTGAGCTTGGTCTTCTCACTGATCTTGCTCTCTTTCATCTCAACTCAAACCGCTTCTGTGGTGAAGTTCCTATCACGTTTAAAAACATGAAGCTTCTCTTCGAGCTAGATTTAAGTAACAATCGTTTTGTTGGGAAGTTCCCTAAGGTTGTCTTGTCTTTGCCTTCCCTCAAGTTCTTGGATCTTCGGTACAACGAGTTTGAAGGTGGTATCCCGTCCAAGCTATTCGATAAAGAGCTTGACGCGATATTCTTGAATCATAACCGTTTTCGGTTTGGAATACCCGAAAACATGGGAAACTCTCCGGTTTCTGCTCTTGTTCTTGCGGATAATGATCTTGGAGGTTGCATTCCGGGAAGTATTGGTTTAATGGGAAAGACTCTTAACGAGATCATCCTCTCTAACGATAACTTAACCGGTTGCTTACCACCGCAGATTGGGAATCTCAAGAATGTGACGGTTTTCGAGGTCAGTTTCAACCGTTTAAGCGGTCCATTGCCGTCAAGCATTGGAAACATGAAGAGCTTGGAACAGCTCAATGTTGCTAACAATAGATTCACAGGAGTTATTCCAAGCAGCATTTGCCAGCTCTCTAACCTTGAGAACTTCACTTACTCTTCCAACTTCTTCACTGGTGATGCCCCGAGATGTGCGGCTCTTTCGGGAGACAATGTGGCGGTTAATGGATCGATGAATTGTATTGCTGGTAAAGAACGTCAAAGATCGTCTAAAGAGTGTTCTTCTCCAGCCTCACGCCCTGTTGATTGTAGTAAATTTGGATGCAACAACTTTTTCTCTCCTCCACCACCGTCTTTTAAGATGTCACCCACCGTCCGAGTACTTACTCCACCGCCTCCGTCTTCCAAGATGTCGCCTACATTTAGAGCAACTCCACCACCGCCTTCTTCTAAGATGTCGCCTACTTTTAGAGCAATTCCGCCACCGCCTTCTTCCAAGATGTCGCCTTCCGTCAAGGCCTATCCTCCTCCCCCGCCACCGTCAAAGTATGAGCCATCTCCACCTCCTCCTTCTTCCGGAATGTCACCTTCCGTTAGAGCATACCCTCCACCACCACCATCTCCTCCTCCACCATACATCTACTCATCTCCTCCTCCACCGTCACCATCTCCTCCTCCACCATACATCTACTCATCTCCTCCACCACCTCCGCCCGTAGTTAACTGTCCACCCACAACACAAAGTCCCCCACCGCCACCACCTCCAAAATATGAGCAACCCCCTTCACCAAGGGAATACTATCCATCACCTTCACCACCTTACTACCAATACACATCTTCTCCGCCACCGCCTACTTACTACGCCGCTCAATCTCCACCGCCACCACCACCGGTATACTACCCACCTGTAACAACAAGTCCTCCTCCACCACCGGCCTACTATAGACCGGTAACACAATCTCCTCCTCCTCCACCGGTTTACTATTCACCTATTACCCAAAGTCCTCCACCACCACCACCGGTTTACTATCCACCGGTAACACAAAGTCCACCACCACCACCGGTCTACTATCCACCAGTTACACAAAGTCCACCACCACCACCGGTCTACTATCCGCCAGTTACACAAAGTCCACCTCTCCCACCAGTTTATTATCCTCCGGTAACACAAAGCCCTCCACCACCACCAGTATACTATCCACCGGTAACACAAAGCCCTCCACCGCCAGCACCGGTCTACTATCCACCGGTAAAACAAACCCCTCCACCGCCACCACCAGTCTACTATCCACCAGTAACACAAAGCCCACCTCCACCGCCACCACCAGTTGAGTACTATCCACCGGCAAGCCCAAACCAGTCTCCACCACCACCGGAGTATCAATCACCACCACAAAAGGGATGCAACGACAGTCATCACTACCAAACACCAACACCACCTTCTCCTCCGCCTCCATCCTACGACGACACACCTCTTCCGCCAATCCGCGGTGTCTCTTATGCGTCCCCTCCTCCACCATCAATCCCATACTACTAAGTTTAAACCATGCATTTAAACTAGTGGTTAACACGGACACTAGTCACATTGATCAAAATTCTTTTGGCTTCGAACCTATTTGTGTCTTTTGGTTGATACGAGACATTCGAGTTATTTTTTTCCGATGAATATTTTGTTCTTTTATTTCTTGATTAAACAGAGAATATGAAGTATATAATTTCACTTATTTTCTTTTGGTTACCCAATCTTTTTAATGTATTTTGTTCTATATTGTTCAGTATAATATACATTCCTTCCACAAAAGCCTCTTCTCGCTTTAGAAGTTCACGATTTCGAACAATCTGTTATCTTTATCGCAATTGCTTAGTCGATAGTGTTTATGTTTGTGTCCGTTATCTTACCTACATTCAAACTAATAGTGCATGCCCAAAAAGAAACTCTACAACATAGAAAGATCACAAGAAAAGTGAAGAGAAAATTCCATAAATACACAAACGGTCACTTATTAATTATGCTCATTTAATCAAAAGCTAAATCAATTTTCTAGTCCGCAAAATCGAATGAAGATTAAAATGTATATATATTATCAAATATTCAAATGAGCTTTGGTTTAGGCTTTGGAGAATGTATATACGGTGGATCATTGCCAACTCTTGCGGATGTCAAAGGTGTAGTTGATCTCCAAGTAGCATTTGTTATCGTCATCGACAAACTGAAATATGTACAATAAGATGATATCAAACTCATCAAGTTCAGTGAAAAACAACTAAATGATTGGTTATGAAAATAAAATATTTATAACAATCTGATCAATTCTCATGTATATTAAATGATATTACCTTAGTTCTTGCGGAATAGGATCCTCTAGCAAACATACCAGACGGTGTCATTTCTTCAGGCATTACATGTTGGTAAGGCTCGGCTTGAGGACTAAACGTCCCAAGCATTGCTTTCGTACTATCCACTGCTCAAAAGGAAAAAAAAACAAAAGACTGAACATGATCAAAAGAGAACATTCGAAAACATTTTAAAAATGAAGGAGAAACACACGAAAAGACAAAGTTACCTTTAACACCGGTTTTCCATACGGTATTGTTATAGCGAAGGCCCGAAACGATATTGTTTGTGACACGGAAGTTGAAGACAAGTGTGTATTTAGAACCTTCCTTTATCGTAAACCAAGGGCCTTTCGGGTTTGGTAACCCATCATCTGGTATTGTCAATACCATTTCCTCTCTGTCCGGTGATCTAACTGTGAGATCTAGTATCTTTACTACTGGATCTGGTGTTTCTGCATTTCAATTATAATTAATTGTATGTTAAATAACATTTCAAGGTTTTCCTTGATAACATGATTCAATAGTTTTGTATTTTGTGTCCCTTTTTTTAAAAACAATTCTTTTAACCGAGACTAAGGTAAGCCAAAATGTCATTTAACTAACATGCATGATTCGTCCCTCTCGTACATTATACTTTATTTGAACCAAAACTAGTGAGACCGTTATGATCTTTTCATCGTTAGAACTAAACACATTTGAGTCTTAATCGATATTCTAAAACCATATTTACGAACCATGAAATCTAAAGAAAGTTATGAATTTGGTTTACCTCCGACATCCTCCAAATCCACAACGCCAAGAAGCTGTTCCTTCCATCTCCTCAGGCTTTCATCATCCTATCAAATTTTAGTCGAAAATAAGAAATATCGAATATTGATTAGACTATTATAAAGCTTTAATTTTCCAATTTGTGCAAGAAAAATCAGACTGTTATTCTTGACATTAACATCTATTATAATATATAATTTCACCAAATTCATATATGGTAAGAATAAATTACAAACATTTTTTTATCATCCATAATATGGTATAGTTTATATAATTTCATATAAATCTATGAAGTAATAAGACCTTGTCTTTTTCAAGTTGTTCTTTGAGAGCGATCATGGGACCGAGTTCGAGCTTCTTGTCTTCATCTTCATCATCATCCTCTGTAGGAGACAAAGAGCTCTCACTGTTCTTTCTGCTTAACCCAATTTTCTCTGATGTCTCTCCTGACGCTTCTCCTTTCTTCTTCTCATCTTCCAAAACCATCTTAATTTTCTTTCCTCTAACCAAAGAAAACAAATGTTCTTGTTGATCTAATAAGATCTTACACAATTTCAACCGTTAGATTGGATTAGAATTCTATGATGGCTATAGAGAAGAGGGAGAGAGAGAAAGAGATTTTTGGTGTGTTTTTGTTGAGCAATGTTTATATTTGGAGCTTGAAGAAATGGTCATGTGGTGATCCTATAATCGTGTAAATCTTACTAACAAATCAAAATTGTCTAAATATATACGTATTCTACAATGCACAGATATTTGTAGGCTCAATAGCTAAATACATGGCAATTAATTTGACTTATTGGAGACTATAAAGAGGATTTTAACAAAAACTATAAAAGGGGATATACCTAGCTCCTAAGAATTATTTCGTCTAGTTGGGCTATTATTATCAGTTTCCTTAACCCAATAGTGGCCTTGTGAGGTTTGCAGTTTCCAAATTAGTGTGATTGAAAATATTTATCTCAATAGATGACCTTAAATCTCTTGGTTTACTATAAATAAGTTAGAAGGTTAAAATTTTTGTTTGATGGTCGGTTTTTTATATTTGAAAGTTTAGAAAATTTCTTGAGTGCTCATATTAAATACACTGAACTCTAAAGCTTTTTATGCTGAGCCTTGACTATGAAAATTGGTTAAGGAAATTTTTTTTTTTTTTTAATTGTTCTGTCCATTTGTAGATTTTATTAATAATCCAGACACAAACTATACTTACTGGATGCTGAAATTTCATGCGTATGGTATTTTTTCTAAAGTTAATCAATATCTTGTTCGTCAAAATTTTGAACATCCCCAAAAAACTTCCCTAGAATTCGTTGTTCTAGAACATAAGAATTCAAAATCATGCCACCAGCTTGTGTACATGTGCATGCATGTGTATATCTATGAAGGTATTGTAAAAAGTTTTTCTTTATTTCTAATTATGTATTGTAAAGTTGTATATATCAATTAAATGAAATACTTTTCGATAGGGACCATTTTAGTTGCCAAATTTGATGTGAATGAAGCAAAATAAACAACATATTTGGCTTTAGAAAAGGAATTCATAAATGACAACTCCCAAAAGTGCTAGAACGTCTGCAGATACTTCCGATTCATTATCCTAAAACCCCATGCACTTTACCATTTACTGACTATAACAGGCTGAAGTAATTTTTTTGTTCGCATTGTAAAGGTTTCGAATCCGAGTTCAAGGAAATACATACGCGTATTACCAGCAGACCAAGATAATATATTTATAAAATTTTGTAAACATATTGTGTATATATATATTTAAACATATGGAGTTGAAATTTAACGCCTCAAATGATTCCATAACGTCCATTAATAATTGTTAAATCGCAAGTTCGAATCCACCAACAATTGAAGAAAAAAATATGTTTTAGCCAAAAATATTTAAATAAAGTATTTATTCCAACAAAAAATTTTGGGTATTAAATAGCCAAATAAAAAAAGGTTTTTTCGGTATTTTTCTTTAAAGAAATTCTATTCTGGTGAAGCCAATGAAAACTCATTTTAGGATCAATCTTAACATGTGGCAAACCAATGAGTAATTGACAGCTGGAAGATCTGCCACCTTCATCTGAATCGGTGCTTAAAATGAACGGCTAAGAATTAACACAGCTATTAGGAGACAATTATACTTAAGATTGTTCGACTTTAGGATTACACATGTTCAAGGCATGCCCGCATGGGGTCGTCTAACATAATTCTGATGCAAAAAAAAAAAAAGCAAATTATTTCAAACTTTATCTTTGTTGTAAGATCTGAATAAAAAATTATAATTTAAAGTTAAAGCGTAAGAGAGGACCTACCTTTTTATGAATATTAAAAAATTTCTTTTAACCAAAACATACAATATACAAAATTTGTGATTCATAGTATTAAAAACTAAATAAGTGATGTGTACATAATATACATGACCTACGGATTTTACAAAAAAAACAAACAAAGAATACAATAATTACAAATTTAGTTGATCTATATGTAATTTAGTATGTGATATATAAACTTAATACTTCACAACCAAATTAAACTAATACATATAGTAAAATAGTTACCTTATCTAGTGTCATTAAAACTACAAATAAATAATGTGGAATGTAAGATAGGTAGCTCCCAATTTTTTTCACAAAAGGATGGTTTGTTTTTGACGAGTTTACAAATTCAATTCCTAAGATTCTTCAAATCCGCTATAAGCTTATAAGTCATGTATATTCAGTTATTTATAAAACATTCAAAACAAAACAAATTCATATTGCAACTTGCAAGCCATTCATTTCATTAGGCACATCGTTAAAACTCATTACAATATTCATAGGTCTCTAAAGGCAGAGACATAAACAAGAGAACTAACATAATAAAGTTCTTATTATTACTAAACTTACTTTCCCGACAATTAGTGACCACAAGAACTACGACTCGGACCAGAAACTAACTTACGACCGGACAAAAAACCCTCTTTGGAGACTCTCTTCTTGTACTTGCCCGATCCATCTCCCACATCTACTCCAATAACGTCACAACCACGATATGGTACCATAGCCATAGAACACGTCAAGTAAACGAACAAGAAAAACAAAACTTTGAGAAGGTTCTTCATCTCCATAACGATACTTTGATGAAATATTGATGTTTTCAGGAAATTATAAAATAGTTATGGGGCAATTTAAGCCGTCCAACTCTTTTTTCCTTTAATCAGCTTTTCCACATGGCCTACCTTTACAGATGGTGATTACGTGTCTAGTCTATACCCATTTGTTGAAATAAAAATTAACAATTTGGTTACAACATATTCAAAAATAGCTATAGAAGTTTGATAAAATTTGACACTTGATTATGATCCGTCCCTTTTATTTTGATGGTCGTTTTCAACTTTTTAAAATACCTAATTTATTTATCATGTATTCAAGTATGATTCTGATTAAGATTTGACTCTTTTCTTCTTTTAGTTTCTTAAGTTAGAGAAATAAATACATTGTTAATTTTCTTTTTTGACTCAAGATTTTGGATAGTTATCGGTAATAGATATGTGTTATCGAAAAATCAAACGTTATCATTAACTTTTCATCTACTGTTCATCTTTTTTGCTTAATAATCACTGTAAATAGAATATAACTAAAATTATGCATCAAATGTCGTAAGAAAAATAATTAAATAAAATATATAATTTTGAGAAAGTTCCACACGAAGACGAAGAAGCTAGGATTTGGATCTGACGTGGCAAAACAGACCGGCAGATATTTGGGCCTTCGAGCAAGTGGAGTCCTACGTGGCAAACAGTGACGTGTCAGCCACAATGAATCAATCCAAGTGACTTGTCGCCATGTCATTATTTCTGACTTTGATGGGTCCTACCCACCGGCCTATTACTTGTCGTCAACAGTCCACGTAGATTATTAGCATGGAAAAAATCGAACACAAATGAGAAAAAATAAAAGCAGTGACCTAAAATAAATGTTGGGTAAAAAAAAATAGATAGCTCGAAGAAAATAAAAATTCAGGATCCAAAATAAAAAAAAAAACAAAAAAAAAATTCCTATAATAATACGTTATTACGTTTAATCAAATATTTATTCAAATGAAAAATTTATTGCAACATATTTAGCAAAAAAAATTATTGTGTTATGTAAAAGTTCATCATGAAGAATGTTTTAAAAAGTGGAATAAATGGTTGAGTCTGAGTCTTAAACGTCCATAAATCGCAAAGATTATTTGTTTATGTGTTGAAATTAAACGATTTTCTTATTTAGCGGAATTATACAGATTTAGGTGATTATAGATGCTCTTGAGCAAGTAATTGTTTTGAGATATCGACTTGTGAATGGTTTTTAGTAAAACATAAAAGAAAGAAAACAAATTATTTGAAATTATATGCGAAAAGATTCAGATTCACTAAAATGTTATTTTCAACACAAATTCAGATTTCAGTAAATGATTCCATATATTCCCTCGTTAAGAAAATCATAATCTGTAAATCAAATACCTCACCCAAGTTTTTGGCTTGTCACAAATATTTACATGCATGCCGACTTATGAATATATTGAAGTCAATTCATATGTTTCACTGGATATATACAAACATATATTCGATATAAAGTATGTACTATAATTTTGTGATTTTACATTCCATGTGATATCTTATCTGAATCAGTAAATAATTTACTTTGTACAATGTTAAGCAAACGCATAAATCCAAATGCTAGAGTTTGTAATGAGGATCGCTTTATGATATCGGGTAATTTTGTTAGTTGTTTACATTTTCTATCACTCATATTCTATCTCAATTCAAACAAAAGAAATATGTAATTCTAACTTTGAAATGATCGATCTACATATAGCCAACTTAAAACAGTTATTATCTGTTACACCAACATTCTTAATAACATTACCAACTTTAAAAATGATCAACTAATCTTCCATGAATAATAAAAATTTCCAACCACCTAGCTATTTCACCAAAACTCTTTTCAGAGGGACCAACTTTTTAAAGTGACAAATTTGATGATAAAAATAGTAAGAAGAAAGAAACGAACAATTAATGAATGTCTTAAACATCGTTTAAATATAATCTTGTTAGAATTTCTCTACGCTTGTATAACGACTATAAAAGATGTTTCTTTATAAAAATAAGTCTAAGTAGTTAAACATTAAATCTTGATATGATTTTTAGTAGGAAGAATTGATCAAAATGATTTGATATTGTTCATAAAAAATTTTATACTATTATTTAATATACCATGAAACAATGTTATTCGTAATTACTTGGCACAAAGATTTATCTATTAGGTTCAATTCTATTTTAGCCAATACGATCGATGTTCATATATTGTAGCCATTATATTATATTTTTAACCTCAAACTTTTTTTTTCGTACTTATGTCATTATATTGTTTCATGAAAGTATGAAACGTATTTTTTCATCTCCAACACCACTTATTATTAATCAATAACTAACGTGACATTTGCGTTATGACTTTTCATATAATTTTATAAAATATAAATTTTAGATTTTTTTAGTATAATGAAAATTGTAATGCACGGTTATATTAAAATTTTAGACTAAAGACGATTC